TGTGACGGACGCCTTTGTCCAGGGCTACGTCCTGGACAAGGGGGCTCCCGAACGCTTGCTGACTGACCAAGGGAAGAATTTTTCGAGTAAATTACTGCAAGAGGTGTGCGACCTGTTGGGTACCAAGAAGGTGCGTACCTCCCCGTACCACCCGCAGACGGACGGGATGGTGGAGAGGCTTAACAGGACATTGACTTCTATGTTGTGCCAGCAGGTGTGTGAGGCGCATGTTGATTGGGACCTGCAGGTCCCTGGGGTCCTCGCCGCGTATAGAATGGCCCCCCATGCAGCTACGGGATTTTCCCCGTTTTATCTGATGTACGGTCGGGAAGCCGACCCGCCCATGGAAACGCAGCTGGGTCTGTCCGCACCACGAGCAAATTCGAAATTGGCAGAGCATATTAAATTTAATATTCATAAGCTGACAGAGGCAAGGGAGGCCGCACGGCTTAATTCACGGGCTCGCCAAATTGCAAACGAGCGGTTGCGGGCACGGAAGGTGTCCGTGCACAATTGGGAACCAGGTGACAGGGCCTGGCTGCATTGCCCGCAGGCACCTTTGGCTACGTCGCCTAAATTGTTGAAGCCGTGGCGGGGACCCGTGGAGGTCGTGCGGGTTGCACGCCCCCAGTGCGTTCAGATAAAATGGGGAAAACGCCGTTGGTACGTCCACCCCTCCCGACTGAAACCGTTCTCGCCTCCGTATGGCCTCCCCTTGTGTCATGAGGGCCGAGCATGTGACGTGACCAGCGACCCTGAGGGGGAATTGTCTTTGCCTGCTCCTCACATGTCTCCGCCTGATCCGCTCCCAGGTGTCTCGGAACTGACAGCTGCCGACCACCGGCGGCCGGATCTTGAGCAGCCGGAGCCACCGGACGGTCGCCAACGTCCCGTCCCATACGACGGACCGGCCAGACGGACTCGCGCTAGGTCGCGCTACTTTGTGTGACCTGCCACGTGAGGAGTCGAGGCAGCCGGAGCGCCTCGGCACTGCGTTTAGTCACAGAGACACTTGGCGCGTTCGGTTTCCGGTGTTCGCTTTTATTGTGTTCGTTTTCCGGTGTTCGCTTTTATTGTGTTGTTCGTCGGGCTGTATATTGCTTCATATTTAAGTGTTGTGTTGTGTTGTTGTTGTTGCGTTACGGGGCACACTGAGAGGTGGAGTTTCTTTGTTACTGCATTGACGTTAGGTTGTGTTGTTGGTTAACAGCCGGGCCGGCTGCAAGCTATGTGGGAGGGGGTGATGTAGAGGTGATACGCGCTGGGATTAGAGATCGTATGCCAGCGCGTAATGATTGGCTGTGTAGGTGGTGACGTGCGCTGACGGTGGAGGATCAGGGGTCAGCGCGGGGTCGTGGGTTACGGGGTACTGATTGGCTGTGGACGGGTGACGTGCTGAGAGGGAGTGATCGGATGGCAGCGCGGTGTGATTGGTGGAGGAGTGTTAACACGCGCTGGGGAAAACGGATCGTAGAGAGAGTGCGTCGTGATTGGTTCATTAAGGAGCGATGCTCACGTTGAAGTACGCATCAGCTCCGCCTCTCGTGAGCAGGGGCTATAAAAGGGGATGCACACAGGCGTGAGGGCAGTGTGTAACCAGCGAAGAATGAAGACGGGGATGAAGACCTAGGGCCCTGCGGTACCTAGTCCCGCTGTCCTAACGGGACCGGGACTCTGTGTAACCCAGAGGCGAGTGTAGTGTGTGTAGCCATAGGCGTAAGGTCTACACGAGCCGAATGCAGTGTATTGTGTAGCCAGGGACATAGGATCTACACGAGTCGAGTGTATTGTGTAGCCAGGGACATAGGGTCTACACGAGTCGAGTGTATTGTGTAGCCAGGGACATAGGGTCTACACGAGTCGAGTGTATTGTGTAGCCAGAGGCGTAGGGTCTACACGAGTGAAGGGTATCGTGTGTAGCCAGAGGCCTAGAGTTTACACGAGAGTAGTGGAGTGTGAAGTCGGAAGAAAGGAGACTACACGTTGTATTTTGATACGTAAAGATTTAATAAAAGTGTGTTCCCGTCAAGAAGTTCCTGCCGTCAATTCCCATACTTCATAATGATTAACGTGGTTTCTGGAGCGCTATTCGCACAGGGCCTCAAAGAGCTTTGTGTGCAGGTATGTGTCTTTAACTTCTTTGCACCATACACAAGCCAACCATGATAATTGGAGATGCGGGGAAAGGACAACAAACTAAACACAACAACAGCAAGCAGTTCTATAGTCATGGGCTCCATGTGAATCTTGTCGAGTTAAGGAGAAAGCCTGCAGTAAAAATGGGTGAGAATCAGCAGATGTACGGTTTTTTCGCAGTGGAATATAAAACTTAAGCAGATTGGTGGTCAGCTATTAAGGAGCCAACTCATTGAAGCTAAGTAAGCTACAGCGTAGGGCATCACATTATCACTTGGGGCCTCTAAATTCCCCAAAATAATAATAATACATTTACAGTTTTACATAATCGGTTGAAATTAAGGAGGTAGGGGGAAAATTACTGTCGAGAGCGGTTATTTTCATTCCGATATGACAAAAAATATGCAGGCATTACTCAATAATAGAGATTTTTTTTTGGGTTAGATCGCGTAAATATATAAATGTGTCATTTAACCCACCACCACCCGACACAACCAACTAGTAAGGGTTGTCACGTAAACAGAATGTGCCAATTCGTCACTAGTACAACACACCGGTGTGTTGGAGAGCCAAACCACATTTACAAACTGAGTATGACGTGTCGCCAGTAATTATAACTATCTTCATCAGGCGACAGCCAGATTTGTGGAGAAGTTCACCTGTTTCGTTCCTTATATAGAGGCGTAGATGTGGTGACCAAACTTCTAAGCTCTTGAGTCAACGTACATTATGCATGTGCATTATGCGGGACCATTGATCTTGTCCTTCCTACGTGATAAACAGCAATTACTCGATTTACGAACCCTAAGCTTGACATAGCTTAGGGCCCTCAGCAAGTCCAAATTTGGCCCTGGGTAAGACACAAGTTGTGTTGTACATGGTGTGGTTAAATTACAACGTAGATTTTCGTAGCCAATACGTTCATCGTTATTTGTTTGTGTTCGGCCACGTGGCTAGTTTTATGCCAAAATTAAACTTAACGAAAACGAAGGTTTTTTTAAAGCTATTTTTATTTTAGACACGTAAGGCCCACTGAGCTATCAGAAGCAAGGAGTCCAAACAACATTACTGGGCAAAGGGAGCTCGCCTTCCAGTGTTTGCAGATCCTCAAAGGTTTGAGAAAGGAGCCAATCACGGTGAATGTTGCTGTTGGGTCCTCTGCTGAGGAGGTGTGAATGAGAGAGGGGGGGGGGGGTGATTGTGTTAAGGCTGCCTTTTATGACATCGTGCCGTACCAATGAAATTCCCACCTGGTACAGATACAATACCGAAGTAAGGTAAGAGATGGATTCCAGCTGGTTCATCAGCCAGTGACCTGGTGATTAATGCCCATTCTGGGAAAGTTTCCCTACTGCTGGGCCTAGAACTTGCCACATTGGTGGTTTGGCCTAATCAACCAAATTAAAACTCCTGCCCGCGTACTATGTGTAATTGAAGACGTTAATCTTTCCACATCTCCATGAGTCATAGAGCAATTGCATAGGTGGTAGGTGGTTAGGGCTAAGGGGGCTTAGACCCTTCAAACCTATACATGCCGTTCGAGATTTGAAGCTTTCGTGACTGCAAGGATTCATACTCTTAGTTTTTTCGGTCAAGTCACGTAGGTAAAAATAAATTAATAAAAATAAAATAATAAATGCATGCCGGTTTGTAATTACTGGCGAAACGTCGTACTCGAATTGTAAATGTTGTGGGTTCACTCTCCAACACACAGCCGGTGTGCTGAACTAGTAACGAATTGGCACCACATTCTGTTTACGCGCCAACCCTTACTAATTGGGCTGTGTCGGGTGGTGGCAGGTTTAACGGCACATTTATATTTATGCAATCCCACCCAAAAAAACCGCTTATCAATGATATTGGTCGCGAAAGCCTCGTACGTGTTATACATCTGTAATGAGATGACTTCCGAGCAGTGAGGGTTTCTTATTTATTTCTCGATACTTTAAGGACAGGGTCACTGAATAACACGAGCGCTGAGTGAGTTTTAGCTTAGCCACCCAAACAGCCACATTGGCAACACACAACTATATAGCTGACTGACTATATAGTGACGATGACCATGAAGACTGCATAGCCGGCTAGCTATGCAGTGACGATGACGACGAAGAGATGGCAGTGATGACAGCGACCACAGGCCCCATGACAGCCTCGAACCCCCGTTTGCCTCTCCCTTATATCCCTCCAGCGTGGCGAAGCCCCGTCCCTGGCCACGCCCCTTTTATGGAACTCTCTCGCTGGTTCCAGGAGCTTCCAGATCGATCCCTTCCTCAACCCTTGGCCCAGTTACACCCCCCTTGTGGTTGCTTATATGTGTGTCGTTCTATAACGCACCTATACCCGTAGTTAGCCCCCATGGCCAGCAAATGTCACCCTGTCACTACACATCCATCAATATCAGTATGTGTGGACGGAGCTTGGAGCAGATGCATTTCAGCAGCATCAGAATCTTTATTTAGACTACAGGAGGAGGAGGAATCCGATGAGCTATGAAGCTCTTTTTCACAGATGTCCAGGAGGGGCAGGGGAGTCAACAAGTTACGACAACAAACAACAACAAACAACAACACGAACATCGAGAGGAGGGCAACATAGAGAAAAGTGGGAGGCAGTGAAAGGATGGTCAGAAAAATAAGAAGAGCCCTGGGCAGCTGAACTAGAGAAAGTTACCATGGTGGGAAGAGCGGGTGGTGCAACTTGCAGTCACCCCATTCATTTGAACACATTCCGTTTTGAGTCATTCTACTGGCCTGGCTCAATTCCACCGGCGTTGTCTTCAGCACTGAGTAGAACGTCTTGTTGTTATGCGAGTGTAAATATTGCATATATATAACATTATATTACGTGTGTGTTTTGTGTTGTAGGCTCATTGAATTGGATTTGGGTTGTCGTATTCATTATTTTTGCTGCTTTGGGTGGAGTTGCTGTTTTCGTATATTGGTTTAAGAAAGTGAAAACATCTCAACATGCGGGTGAGTTCCATTGTCATCCTGGCATCGTGTTCACTCTGTTGTCAAACAGTGTCTATAACCTGCTTTGACATGTGGATAAAAAACATGGACACACTTTACGTTAAAATAAATTTTCGACCGAAAAATACGAACACCGCAACCTGATCTCACCCTAACACTCACTGCTGTTGATTCATTTTCAATTGGTAATGAATATATTCACATGAAGTAATCACACGTTTCATAAGTACAAACTGACCACACACTGAATACGGAGTGATCAATAACACAGGGCTACTGGGTCACACGCTGCTCCTCAATGCCGCCAGTCTGGTTGTGTTCCTCGCTATTCGAGGGATGATTTCTCAAACCGGACGTTCCCTGCCCTTAGGACTTGCCCTGTGTAACCACAATGCCCGTGTTTGTGTCCCATGATGAAGGTTCCCATGCCACCGACTCTGAGAGGCAACCGCTGAGTAGCGACGATCGCTCCGAGCCAACCCAATCGGAACCACAGGTGACAACTCCTACCACACCACCTCCACCACCATCACCACCGCACTCCAGGCACACGATCGGCTACTAACGCTGCCTGTTCCAACTCCTCACCCTGGTCTACAAATTCTTTCATGGTCTTGCCTCACCATATCTTGCCACGCTTGTAACTTTCTCTGTGTCGCCTTTTCGCCCTCATCAGTCTGAATCTTTGCCGTCTCTCCTTGCTCCTCATTCTCGTTGTGCTCAATCCAAGCAAGTTCCATTGCAGAGTCCACGTCCTAACAGTGGCCGTGTCGCAGGTGGAGGTTGCCGTTGTGAGAGACGCCGTGGAGATGATCCAAGAGAAGATGGCCTCGGGTGGAGGTGCCGTGTGGACGTGGCTGAGTGACCGCTGCTCAGAGCTGCTGGGGAGTGGAGGCGGTGGGGTCGGGCCCCACCTCTTGCTCGACCTCTTCCTGCGGGAGCTCATCGACGAGGCCGAGTACTGGAAGGCACGCGGCCTCCCTGATGCGTCGCGACTAGCACACTACGTCATCGCCCTCGTGGTAGACAGAGGAGAGGAGGCCTGCGGGAAGTTCAGGGACATTTACGAGGACTTCAGTAGCAGGAAGAGAACATTTCTAGACATGCAGAGTCAGGCTGGTAAGTACATAAATGACTCGTACATTGCAACATTACCTGTATCACTATAACGTAATATGTTTAATTCGATGTGTAGGTCATGCGGTGGAGTTTGAGAGTGGTAGCCACGCTGGTCAGGGCAGCTTGGTAGATTGCATCATTCAAACGGTCAAGAAGAGCAAGTGGGCTGGGACAGAACGTGCCGTTAGAAGGAATGAGAGGCGATGGTCAAATATAGCGGTGGAGGATGCCCGCTGAGGAGACGGGGCAAATAAATGAGTTTGTGTGCAGGTGGTCGGTGGATTATTACCTCCCGGGTTTGTAGAGATGGAAACGGCTTGAAGGCCTTCATGTGGCAGTCGATTGATCTCGGTTGTTGATGATGATGACATAAATAACGACATCAAGACAGCTCCGTATCCTCCACAGAAACCGTGTTTGTGCCTCGTTATGTTAATTGGGTTATATTCCACGCGTCCATCCCCCAAGCTGCACATTTTCTTCTCATCCCCACAACTACCCCACGTGTCCCACTGCCATGATTCGACCGTTCAACCAACACAGCAGGAGCAGCGGTGGTGTCCCTGGCAGCATCATCAACGCCAAATGATCTCATTCATCTGATAACGCCGTTAATTATTTTATTGTTACAGAAATCTGCTCACCAACATACGACCCTAACACAGCAAATGGGTTCCTACTGCTCTCCACGGACCTCAAGACGGTAACAAAAGCAGCTGATCAACTGTACCCACATCACATGGAGAGGTTTGAGTCCGTCCCCCAAGTGCTGTGCTCAGAGGGATTCTCCTCCGGGCGCCACTACTGGGAGCTGCACGTGGGCTGTGCAGAGCAATACATGGTCGGTGTCGCTTGTGGGAAGAATGCGATGGAGAGAGAAGAATGTATTGCTGGGCTGGACGGGGTTAGACTGTCCTGGTGCGTGTGGAGACGCGAGGCTGAGCTCGTGGCTGCTCACAATGGAGAAGTCACCGTGCTGAACCCGCCAGTGCCTCCCCAGCGAATCGGGATTCACCTGGACTGTGGCAATCTGAAGCTCACGTTTGTTTGTGCTGAGACCATGACGCCTCTGCACGATTTTTATTTGGAGGAGTGGAAACGCTCCGTTACGCTACGTCCTGCAGTGTTGCTGCTTAGTGGATCGATTACCATTGGTGAGATCAGTCATTCATATAATTAACATATTTCACCTAGTTGTTGGCAGTAGGCTTCACTTGATATCAGCTTAAACATCACTCTTGCAATAGCAATACCCAGGTTGTCATCGCTAGTAGTACGATTCATACTCTTTGGTTTTTTCGGTAAAGTCAAGTAGGTGAAAATAAAATAAAAAAATGAAAACTAAATTAAATCACGACGTTTCAGGCGCAACACAATCGTCCGTCATCAGGTGGGAAAGCACAGTATACTGCTGAGGTAGACTGTTTTAAAAGGTTTGAAATGAGTGTAGCTCAAGGGTTATAAAGTGGCCGGGGTTAGTGATGTTAATGTGAGAAATTAGCATGTAACTGTGAGATTGAAGAGCAGCCTCCTGCTAATCCCTCACATTAACATAGCCACTTCCGTGCCCTCGTTTAGGAGGCCGCTCTTCAATCTCACAGTTACATGCTAATTTCTCACATTAACATCACTAACCCCAGCCACTTCTGTATAACCCTTGAGCTACACCCATTTAAACCCTTTTAAATCAGTCTACCTCAGCAGTATACTGTGCATTCCCACCTGATGACGGATGCTTGTGTTGCGCCCGAAATGTCGTGATTTAATCTAGTTTTAATTTTTTTATTTTATTTTCACCTACGTGACTTTACCAAAAAAACAAAGAGTATGGATCCTTGCAGTCACAAAAACTTCAAATCAAGTAGTACGATTCATAATTTAGTTTTGAGTGAGGCCAAGTAATGATCGCTCTACATGTGCCGTCAAAACCTACAACAAATCGACAGCCAAACTAAACGCTACGCATGTTTAGAGATTCTCCAGCTGAAGATGGCTGGCAGTAATAGAATCAAATATAATATTTACAACACAAAAAAATATTTAAATTATTTTTAGAATTGTGTAAGCTTCAAAACACGTCAGATTTAGCATTTTGTAGCTTAATCCATTTTTTACGATCCACTCATGTGGATCGTTAAAACTCGCACTCAGAGGCAGTGTTCTAGATACTGAAAAACAGCGATGCCCTGAGAAATTAAGCAGCTCTTGCCTAGCAATTGCCTGTGGCTGAGGACTTTGCATTTGCTCTGGATTCTCTCACGTCTCTCATTTGCGTGTTTTTGTTCACCCCTCTCTTAGCCCAACCCCTCAGTGGTGATGTCAACAAATCCGTTCACCAGAAGGTTTATGAGTACGAGGCCGGTTTGACGCCTGTGCGGAATGAGATGGTGGCCCTGCTGCGCAGGAGACCCTATCTCTTCCTGCATGAGATGTTGATGCAGGGCCACATCGAAGCGCACATATACTGGAAGGCGTACATGGAAAACATTTCCATAAAGTGTGAAAAGTTCATCCGCGAGGAAGTTGAAAGTGTAAAGAAGGACGGGGAGCTCGAGGAAGTGATGGAAGCCACTAGAAGTAATGAAAGAGACTTCCTCGCCATGTTAAAATCGTCAGGTAAGAGACAAACCACTTCAATACCAGCACACCTCATGCTTGCAAGCTTCCGTTTATAGTCATCACAAGTGTTATTGTTGTAACATAATTTGTCAACGTCAGTGTACAAGATGGACATTGGGAAGGTTGTCAGGAGAGTGAGACGTCAAGGTGGGCATGAAGTCTCAATCATCTGTGGCTCTGACAAAGGTTCGCTCTGTCACTGCTGTTGCTGTAAACGATGCCGTTTACAACCAGAATACTAAATTCCAGATAGTTTAGGTATTCATCCACAATCAGCAACGATTTATCTGGTAAAATAAAGATCTCATTGTTTTAAATTGTAAGCATGCACCTCCGATAAGCACTCTTGGCTACGTACGGCGAGGAAGAAGTTCAACACGCATGCAAACATATCACTATTCTTGTTTTGTTTTCAGAAAGGTGTTCTCCCACCGTGAACCCCAATTCCGTGAACTCCGACCTCCGCCTCTCCGTCGACCTCAGGACGGTGACTCTGTCCTCCGAGCGCCACTCTTACCCCCACCACCTCGAGCGCTTTGAGAACTCCGCTCAGGCGCTGTGCCGCGAGGGCTTCTCCAGCGGCGCGCACTACTGGGAGGTGGACGTGGGCGGCGCGGAGCAGTTCAGAGTGGGCGTCGCGTGCGCCACTCTGCCGCGCGGAGGGAGCGCGGAGGCGCAGCTCCTGGGCGCGGGCGCGGACTCCTGGTGCCTGTGGAGACGCGAGGGCGGCTACGCGGCGAGCCACCGCGGCCGCCACACCGCACTGGCGGCCGTGCGCCCTCCTCCCAGGAAGATCGGCGTTCACCTGCGTTGGGAAGAGGGGCTCCTCTCGTTCTACTGCGCCGACACCAGGAGGCGGCTGCACTCATTCAATGCCACCGCCTCCCCAGGCCCTCTCTACCCCGCCCTGTGCGTGCACAAGGGGACGGTAACCATACTTCGCAAGAGTCTACGGTTTGAGGAGGGTGAAGGAGCGACCGTTGAGATGGAGGAGAGTGGGGGAGTGAAGGGAGGTGTGGTAGAAGGTGTGGGAGTGAACAGCGACACGAGTAAGAATGTGGAGCTGCACAGCAACGTCGTGGAGAATAGAGGAGAGAAGAGTGGAGGAGAGAAGAGTGGAGTAGAGGAGAGTGGAGTAGAGAAGAGTGGAGTAGAGAAGAGTGGACTAGTGGAGAGTGTAGTAGTGAAGAGTGTAGTAGAGAAGAGTGGAGGAGTGAAGAGTGGAGTAGAGAAGAGTGGAGGAGAGAAGAGTGGAGTAGAGAAGAGTGGAGGAGTGAAGAGTGGAGTAGAGGAGAGTGGAGGAGTGAAGAGTGGAGTAGAGAAGACTGGAGGAGAGAAGAGTGGAGGAGAGAAGAGTGGAGTAGAGGAGGGTGGAGCATCGCAGATTGAGGTGGGGGATGGAGGAACTGGGGGAGGTGCTGCTGGGGAGAGTGAGGCCAGCAACGGGGTAACGCAAATCTCGAGTGGGGCTGGTGGGGGCACGATGAGCGGAGCAGAGAGCGACGCAACTAAACTTGGGGACGTGAACATTGGCTTAGGGACGATTGAAGGAGAGAAGAGTGAAGTGAAGGTTGATGGCGGAGGAGGGAAGAGTGGTTTGGAGGAGAGTGGAGTGTTGCATAATGAGTCGGAGGATGGAGGTACTGGGGTAAATGGTGCTGGGCAGAGTGGGGATGTGGAGAAACACACTGTGACGACTGGGAGTGGTGGTGAGAAAAGTAAGGGGAAAAAGGAGAGATCAATTGGGAGTAAACTTAAAGGAATAAAAATGGCTGTGATTAAACGTGAGGGAATGAAAAGGAAGGTGGATGGAGCAGTAAACAATGACAAGAGTGAAAATGTTGACGTGGACTGCAAGGTCGGGGATAATGAAAGAGATGAGAGGGATGTCGAGGTGGGGGGTGGCGGAATGGAGGGGGGTGGTGCTGGGGAGAGTGCGGATGCGGATAAAAAATCTGAGGCGACTGGGAGAGACGGTGTGGTAATTATAGGGCGTTTAACATCACTGAGTGGAGAGAGTGAAAGTGGGGGAGTGAATAGTGAGGTGGATGAAAGTGGAGAAGTGAATATCGATGGCGTTGATGGTGGAGAGAAGAGTGGAGTAGAGGAGAGTGGAGTGTCACAGATTGAGGTGGGGGGTGGTGGAATGGGGGGAAATTGTGCTGGGGAAGTGAAGGAAACTGTGAGGAGCGGCGGCGGTGACGTAGAGAATGAAGGGAGAGTGCAGACAATTATGGGGGCAGTTTATAGGTACTTTACAGGAGCTTCGAGTGAGGTGGGAGAGGTTGAAGTAAAGGAGAGCGATGCTGGGAATGGTGCAGGAGAGAAGAAGAGTGGGAAGGAGGTGTAGGAGGAGGGGAGAGGGAAGAGCGTGAGAGTGGAGGGACACAAAACGCCGACTGTGCAGGCGTTGAGAATTCAGATGAAGACTTCGCCCCATGATGATTCCAGATTCTCAAGTGCAGAGAATTGATGGCTACACAAAGCGTAGCACCACTTTATCTTTGTTTTTGACGTAACTCATCGTATTCATAATAAAGGTTTTGTGTTACATCGCGTAAATATAAATGCGTCGTTAACCCACCACCACCTGACAGCCAATTCGTAAAGTTTGTTACATCAACAAAACGTGCCAATCAGCTATTTTAACAATATGGTTTTCCTCTTTTTCTGCAACAAAACTGAAATATTTTTACGAGGAATCATGTCTGCATTAACCATAATACTTGTGGTCAGAATGCAAACAAAAAAACACACTCTGATCATTTTTGCATTGTCCTTGAAACTGATTGGTCCACACCAGAGACAGCTTTCTTTATTTTTTTTGCATTCTGACCACAAGCATTGTGGTTAATGCAGTCATGATTCCTCGTAAAAATATTTCAGTTTTGTTGCTGTAAAAAAGGGTAAAAACCTATTCTTATATTTTGGTACCGGCAAAGGAAGTCCCATGAATCAGCTATTACTTCAGCACATGGGTTGATGGTGAGTCAACCCAAAACATTTACATTGCATGCAGTACGACGTTTCACTGTGATTACAACCAGCTTCATCAGATTTTCCCGGATTGTGAAGAAGTCTTCCTGGTTCCGGTCTTAAATAGAGCAAGATTGCCCACGTGTCACATTTAAGAGATTCATCTCCTTCAAACTCTTAGAATGAATATTTAGGTACAGCTGTAATGAGTCCGAGATTCTGAGCATGACGTGTGATGTTGCACCACCTGGTGGAGTTCACTGATATTGAAGGGACATCAGAAGCCGCAATGCAACATCAGAATGCAAGAATGAACGGCTCAGTGACAGCACAGCAAATATAAATGAATGTTACGGCCAATTTGAATATGCATAGAGAAAAATAATGGTTTGAATATGAACAGATGCACGATTGTACTTGCATTATCAAGGGTCAGGTTATGGCAATGCAGGGGCCCTGGGCTTCAAGAGCCGAATGGCTCACAGGGCTATACCTAATACATGAACTTGAACTTGAAGCTCAAGAGACCCGATCTAGGAGTGGGTGTGTCAAGAAGCGCCGTGGAGACGTCCATCTCTAACAAAGCGACGTCTCTATCGTCTTAGGAGTAACGTAGCTACAGCTCCGTGAACAGTCGGCCCCGATGTCTTCCACCTCGTAGACGTTGTCCCGGGCAAGCGCCCAGACCGCGGCCTCGCCCTGCTCACAAAGCCTCTCGGCCCACCCTCAACTGGACAGCGCCCTCCACCCCCAGTGCGTCACGTGACGCCAATCGTCACGACGCGCCGAGTTAATTAATTATATAGACACTCCCCTATGGCCACGCGTTCTTAACGCCCTCCATGTGGACACTTTAACTTTCTCTTTGCAGTCCCCTACAACTCTAGAGTGTTGTCATGGGAATTAAAATAACAGTTTTAGAGTCTTTATTTTTGTACCTCCGTCGCCTTTATTTTTGTTTACCGATCATGTAAAACTTAAACCTTCATATTATTGACTTACAGCTTTCGTGACTGCAGGAATTGATATTCTTTTTGTCTTCCTCCTGATGACGATCGCTTGTGTTGTGATCGAAACGTCGTGGTTTTTGTAAATTTTATTTGTATTAATTTGAACCTATCTACGTGACTTTACCGAAAGACCTAAAGAATATTTCATATTATTGTGCTAAATAGAATTAAACGTAATGCAGTCGGGTTCATGGATGATTCAGCACTCAGCAAAATCACTCGACTCACTCGCTCACGGGCGGTCAGTCACCTCCGTTTCACTCTTCTGGCGCTATCACTTTGGTGACTGTTCCCACGAACTAACACTCATTGACCCCTTCACTCGGTCTTCCACACTGCCCGTGTGGTCCACACCGTGTCCAGCCACCACACAACGCTTCTCTGTCTGATTCTTTCCCTGGCATTGCTCAATGTGTAAGTTCCCCATGCAGTTTGTCTCTCTTTCCATCTCCGTACGACCAACCTCATTTCAATAAGCGTCTTAACTTTGACTCATTACACGGTCGTGAGTGCCGTCTCTGGGTCCGTTTTTTGCCAGTATCAAGATGATGAAAAAAAATAATCGTCTCGACTCTTCCCGTCAAGAATACAGGAGGCGTTAGGATGTTCAAACACCAAATAGACTCCCTATCACAAGGTCGATGCCTTGTGATTTGAGGAGGCCGTCTCCGGCGTTGGCCGAATCAGCGCTATTGTGAGCGCTCTTCACTGCTGCCTGCTTGTGTAGAGAAGCTCATCGGAGACGTCCATCTTCAGGGGAGTTGAGACTCCAACAGTCAACCCCGATGGTGTCCACCAAGTTGAGACTCCAACAGTTAACCCCGATGGTGTCCACCAAGTTGAGACTCCAACAGTCGACCCCGATGGTGTCCACCAAGTTGAGTCTCCAACAGTCGACCCCGATGGTGTCCACCAAGTTGAGACTCCAACAGTCGACCCCGATGGTGTCCACCAAGTTGAGTCTCCAACAGTCGACCCCGATGGTGTCCACCAAGTTGAGACTCCAGCAGTCAACCCCGATGGTGTCCACCAAGTTGAGTCTCCAACAGTCGACCCCGATGGTGTCCAAATCATTTGGTTATTTCGGTAGAGTCACGTAGATAGAAAAAAATAAGAAAAATAAAAACCACCCCCCCTGTTGCCAACGAAACATCGTGGTTTTTATTATTATTTTCTATCCACGTGACTTTACCGAAAGAACCGAATAATTTGAATTCCTTTAGTCACGAAAGTTTTAAGTCGAAAGTGTCCACCAAGTTGTCTCCAACAGCCCCCCCCCCCCCCCACTAAACCATAAGACGCGTGTGCTCAGTGCCTTCTGTCCACCTCTTTGTCAACCATCTGAACCCCCCACCACCCCTACACTTGTAATGGCCTCTACCAGTTGCGTTTTTATTGAACTCAAAGTCCATTGAGTCGAGCCGCACCCTCCTCGTCCTCCTCATCAGTCACGGGGAAAACCCCGACGCGAGCCTCAAGGGGAGTCCATCGCCTCTCGCTCACATCCACCCATCCGTGTGGACAACTGCTGGGCCATGTCTCAATTACGCCTGCTCACCACACTCCTAACCTTCACACTCGTGCTGGTAAGCTGCGTGTGTGCGTGTGTCTGTGTACCTGTGTACCTGCGTGCGTGTGTACCTGCGTGCGTGGGTCTGTGTACGTGTGTACTTGCGTGTCTGTGTGTACGTGTGTGTCTGTGTGTACGTCTTTGTGGGTCTCTGTGTGTCTGTGTGTACGTGTGTGTGTGTGTCTGTGTACGTGTGTGTACGTGTGTGTCTGTGTACGTGTATGTCTGTGTGTGTCTGTGTGTGTGTCTCCGTGTCTGTGTGTGTGAGTGGTAGTGTAGCGGTTAGCGCGCTGCACTGCGAACCTGGCGACCTGAGTCCGATTCCCACTCACGGCCAATACCACCAGTGACAATTATCTGAACCGGTTCTGGGCCTCCCCTAGGTCGACTCAGCCTCAAATGGAGTACCTGGTGCGGTGTGTAGTAAACATCGCTAGCACTGGGGAGACAAAGGCTTCCGGGCGTGGTGCTGGCCACCCACCCACCCACCCCCTCGTATGCCGTGCCGTCCTTCATCGGCTGTGCTGGGGATCTTTGTCTTCACACGTAGCGAGGAGCCAAGAGGAGGTGCACGAGAGGCTGGCTCATTGTGTCACCTGAGGACCCCATGGACTTCCTCCACTTCCTCATTTGATGTCCCCCCCCCCGCCTGCCCGACGATATCCCGGGGGTTTTGGGCAGGGAAACCAGGCAAGGCAGGCTTGGACCGCGGCGAGCCACGAGGAGGCCTCAACATCGGGTCAATGTTTGGCATCGAAACCAGCGGGGGGGGGGGGGGGGCACACTACAGTATAAACTACACTCTCTACACTACACACTATACTATACACACCACACCACAATATACCTGTCAACCCCTTATCAGCGCCTACATTATTATCGACTGTATTGGTCAACCCGTGCCACTAATAAATCTCAAACGTTCATCCTACAAAGACCCATCTAAACACAAACAAATTAGACGAAACATTTGTCCCGCATTGAAACGGTCCGACCCAACATGGAACTCGGAACTCGAGATCCCTGCACAAGCACGCGGGCTAACCCGTACCAGTGCCGGATGATCCCAGTAGCAAAAGTAGCTACAAATACGACGGGGCCCGCACTTTCAATGGCCCCGCGCTAAATGCTTTCAAGCTATCAAGTCCGGTTCAGTGGACTCTGCACTTGCTCTATTACTATAGTACTCTACCGCTCTTCAACTTTTATGAACGACTGGGTGTTTAAGGTGAACAATTTGTCATATTATTTGACTGTATAGCAAATGAAAAAATATTTTTTTTACTATGCAAGATAAAAATGAACGTGTTTTAATATTTTTTATTTTAATTTAGGGCCCCGTTATAACATCGTACGCTGCAGGCCCCCCGTACTAGCTTCATCCGGCACCGAACCGTACGCGTCGACAGCTCTGAGATCTGCCCGTGGCAGATTTTATAGCGAGCGAGGTGGCATCACGCGTGAGATGGCGTCTTGGAGCGGTGGGGGCGGGGCCGGGGGAGGGCAAGCGCATGGAGTTGCCTCACGGTCCAAAGACGTCACGTGTGCAATTACATCACGGGGCAGTGTGCACGTGGCCTCAGTTCTTTTTCCGATTATAAAAGCCCAGCGTTGCGTTTGTCCGTCAACTAAAATCATAAGAGAGCCTTTCAGAAGGCCCAAATACAAAAAAAGTTAATGGTGTAGCGGTTACCGCAAATATGCGTTTCATGCAGTGTGTAAAAACATCGCCACTGGGGAGACAAAGGCGGCCGGGCGTGGTGCTGGCCACCCACCCCCTAGTGTGCCTTGCCGGCATTCATTAGCTGCTCGTCACTAACGGCACTTGCCCCAACAGTCTGCTAAGGCCCTACGGGGGATCTTTGTATTTGTTGTGTTGGCGCGTTCCAATCGGACGCACCCGTTAAGCTCAGTTACAGCGCGAGAACTGGCAATGGAAGATTGCTCGAGAAAGGAGTACTGTATTAACCTCACACAGTACTTGTGGTGAAATACAAACATGCTCTGATAATAATGCATGGCATTGTCTTGGAAACCGATTGGCCTAAACGAGAGATAGAGTCAAATTTCGATTTAAAGCTTTCGTGACTGCAGGGATTCATCTTCTTGGTTCTTTCGGTAAAGTCACGTAGAAGGGAAATAATAAAAATAAAAATAAAACATAATAAAATACAAATTGTATTTTAATAAAATACAAATTGTATTTTATTATGTTTATTTTTATTAAAGTATTTTATTACGTTTTATTTTTATTTTATTATCTTCCTTCTACGTGACTTTACCGAAAGAACCAAGAAGAGAGATACAGTCGCCTTCTTTATGGCCTAGTCTCACTCCCAGTGTTGTGGACCAGCAGAATCATATATCGTTTTCATGTATGCATTGCCTGTAATCGTAATGATAAACTTGCATTGTCTTTGAAACTGATTGGCCTACGCCAGAGCGACAGCAGCCTTCTTCATGGCCGAGTCTCTGTACCAGTGTCAGACCAGAGAACGCCAAAAGGCGACCAGTACAAGGACAATGCCATATATTATTATCAGCGCATGCTTGTTTACATGTTCATCACAAGTACTGTGCGTGGTTCATGCAGTACTTGATCCCTTTTATTATTTTATTATTTCCCTTCTACGTGACTTTACCGAAAGAACCAAGAAAATTATTTATTAAAGATGATATAATTATAGGAGAGCGGTGGTGCAGTGGTTAGCACACTGCGCTATATAACCCCGGCCCTTAAGAGTTAAATTCCCGCTCACAGCCACCAACACCAGTGACGGTTATCTGAACCGGTCCTGGGCCTCACGTAGATCGACTCAGCTTCAAATGAGTACCTTGTACGGTGTGTAGTAAACATCGTCACTAGGGAAACAAAGGCGGCCGGACGTGGTGCTGGCCACCCACCCCCTCGTGTGCCAGTGCCGGCCTTCATAGGTGCTGCTCGCTAACAGCACTTTCCCCAACAGTCTGTTCAGGCTACACGGGGGTTTTTTGTCTTTGTTTCGTGGAGACGCTCGAGGGTCATGTGACCAGGTCTCTGATCCAGACAATCAATTCCACATTTGTGCTCGCTTCCATTAATAGTGCTGCTTGGCTGCACATAATGTCCATAATATTGAGTACAAGTGAGTTAACGTGGTGCACGTGTGGCAGTATAAGTGAGATAACGTTGTGCATGTGTACAGATTGCTCCAGTCTCTACAGAGGACAATCAAGAGGATTGCCCCCAAGGAAGTTACAGAACCGAAACCAACATCTGCTGCTATCTGTGCCCTGCAGGTACCGTGACAAAGCGACGTGGATTATTCATCCAATTGAGATTGGATGTTTGGTGAAAATAGAATCTTTGAATTCAAGTGAGATTCAAGTCAACCAAATAGCACACCGAGTGTCATAATGGCCGTGTCAAGGACACCGAGTCAGCACCGTTGAGTCATCGGATGATGGTTTGAGGGAAATCGCCAATTTACCAAATAAAACCACTGGTTTAAATTCGGTTAAAAAAAAATATCCAAAGTGAATGAGCCCAACCCTCATACGATACAATATACGTTGTAAAGCACCTTTGGACTAAGGCACTGCTTTATACCAATCTATACAAGGAATGCAGATAAGATATTTATTGCTACAATATTACCCTCACAACTGTCTTACCTTTCACTTGTAAACTCAATTCCATTCATATCGAACGCGGCTAAAAACATCTGCTACCAGTCCACTTTGCTACCACTCTGAGTTATACTGCCATTGGCCTTTGTTATGCAACGGATATACAGGGACGCCTCTACTTACCAACATTTGACTTACGAACTTTCAGAGATACAAACAAACCCGTCCATATGTCCAGTTGCCTGTTGGACCGAGAGTCGTAAGTTCAACCGCCGCGCAATAGATGGCAGTCACAGCATCTACTTCTACAGAACGTGAAGAACCAATGGCATCTATGTCTACAGGAGATTATACAACTTTTAAAGCTATTGCCCGTGTTGAGTGTACATGCCGTACAACACGTTTGGAATCGACAGGAGTAAAGTTGGACTGAGGAACAAATCGACTTACGAACAGACATCTGGAACCTAACTCGCTCATAAGTAGAGGCGTCCCTTGTACTCTATAAACATCAATGATGTTTGTTTGTTTAACTCAACAGGGACGCACAAGAGCCACGAATGCACAACGCATGGACAGTTCCCAGTCTGCCTGTCGTGCATAGATAAATCAACGTTCACAGACTCCGCAAATAACCTCACAAGCTGCCAAGCATGCAAAATCTGCGACAAAAGTAAGAGATACCAACCGAACTGAGTGGTGGAGGTGCCAGTGTGGGAGCTGTGGCACAATGTTTGGTCGCACTGTGCTACGAACCCGGCAGAGACCCGAGTTCGATTCTCATTCACGTCCAACAAGTGCCAAATATTTTAACTGGGCCTGGGCCTCCCCTAGGTCGACTCGGCCGCAAAAAAGTACTTGATGCGGTGTGTGAAAACATCGCCACTGGGGAGACAAAGGCGGCCGGGCGTGGTGCTGGCCACCCACCCCGTAGTGTGCGGTGCCGGCCTTCATTGGGTGCTCGTCACTAACGGCACTTGCCCCAACAGTCTGCTAAGGCCCTACGGGGATCTTTGTATTTGTTGTGTTGGCGCGTTCCAATCGGACGCATCCGTTAAGCTCAGTTACAGCGCGAGAGCTCGCAATGGAAGATTGCTCGAGAAACGAGTTGTCTTACCTTACGTAGATTTACATACATTGGCACCTTAATCCTTAGGCCAACCTTTATCGTCACCACATTATGAACGCATCTACCTCCTATGAGCAGTGCGTTCCAGTGAGGACTCGCCGCATTTGACATGGGGAGTAAATTGGCGAACGCGGACAGACTTAGTGTGGCGGTGGTGGATCACAAGGACTGGAGTTTGGGAAACCCTCGAATGCTGTATGAACAATTTTTTAGGCCCACTGAGCTATGTAGCTCTTTTTCAGAAGCGACCTGGTCATCATGAATGATAGCCCAACGAAGTGGCTTATCATCATCATCGTGGAAATTGACTCTAAAATGCATATCGATTCTAAATGTAGGAGGAACTAGAGGACCTGGGGAAAGAAATCGACGTGACCACGGGGAAAAGAGACACGCAAACTCCGAATATGCAGGTGTCAGGGTCAGGATCGAACCCACAACCTCCTATTTACCAGGCGAGGTACTGTAGTTAACATCTTGACACCACGGCACCCACATTAAGGATCAGATTCTTTATTTATCCAGGAGGAATCCGATGAGCTGTGAAGCTCTTTGTCACAGATGTCCAATAGGGGCTGGGGGGGGGTTAGTGAGTAACAAATAAACACAACGATAGGAGTGCTAAATAGAGAAAATGCAAGCCACTATTAATAAAGAATAAGTAAAAAAAATCCTAACTACATAAATTCCTGCCGATTTGTCAACACTAAATGCAACCTTTGTGCAAAGAAGCAAAACTACAACAGCAGTCCCAGCCCACACCAAAACAACAACAACAACAAGTCCATGCTTTGGTGCTTCTCCTCAGGTACCTTAACATTCAAACTTGATTTGACGCTTTCCTGACTGCAGGACAGGAAAGGACAGGAAAGCGCAGGAATTACTCTTTGGTTCTTTTGGTAAAGTCAAGTAGAAATAAAAGAAATAAAATAGTCAGACCATTAAGTGAAATACTTAATGTAATATTGTTTTCCTTGCCAACCCTTGAGAACTGGCCTGTACCCAGGTCACCAAGACAACAACGCACAGTCCCTCAGTGGTAGTCGGTGTATCGTCGCGTTTTCGTTTAGCCATATTTGTTTGTTGTAATACAGTTAGACTGATAACTTTAATCTAAATTGTCTTATGGTTAAATTTCGATTTAAAGCTTTCGTGACTGCAGGGATTCATCTTCTTGTTTTTTTCGGTAAAGTCGCGTAGAAGGGAAATAATAAAATAATAAAAATAAAACATAATCAAATTAAATTCTCACGACGTTTCGGCCACAACACAAGCAGCCATCCTCAGGTGAAGAACAGGGCTGTCAAAAAGATTCGGACGCTGTCTTTCCGACAGCCCTGTTCTTCACCTGAGGACGGCTGCTTGCGTTGTGGCCGAAACGTCGTGAGAATTGTATTTTATTATATTTAATTTTTATTATTTTATTATTTGCCTTCAACGTGACTTTACCTAAAAAAAACAAGAAGATGTATTATGGTTGTTATTGTTTGACTTGCATCCCACTGGGATTTTTGCACACAGCGTTGATATACGGTGCTTTTTCTGGAAGACTTTGCTGTTTTTTCCTGGATTTTTCTGTCGCGTGTAGTCACTTTAAGATGTTTCTTGCTCATGTTTTTGTTTGTTGCGGTTGCACCCTATTCAAGAGCCGCATGGCTCACAGGGCTATACCTAATAAATGAACTGGACTGAAATGAAATGAACTGTGTGATCTGGTTACGCGATGTTCTTGCAGGCGAACTCTTTGAACGCCAGTGCAGCACGATTAGCGACACGGTGTGCACGTGCATCAAAGGACTACACAGACCGAGTCCGTCCCAGGCCTGCGAGGACATTGAAGGTAAGATGAGTTAAATAATTATAGAACGGTGTCTTGGTGTGTGTGTCAGTGGGGAGCGATAGTGTAGTGGTTAGCGCGCTGCGCTATGAACCCGACGATCCGGGTTCGATTCCCGCTCACGGCCAACACCATTGACGATTATCTGAACCGGTCCTGGGCCTCCCCTAGGTCGACTCAGCCTCAAATGAGTACCTGGTGCGGTGTGTAAACATCGCCACTGGGGAGACAAAGGCGGTAGGGCGTGGTGCTGGCCACCCACCCCCTCGTGTACTGTTCCGGCCTTCATAGGTGCTCGCTAACAGCACTTGCCCCTACAGTCTGTCAAGGCTACACGGGGGACCTTTGTGTGTGTGGGGAGCTGTGATGCAGCGGTTAGCATGCCGCGCTACGAACCCGGCAGAGACCCGAGTTCTATTCCTGGCCCACGGCCACCAACACCATTGACGATTATGTGAACTGGTCCTGCCCCCCCCCCCCCAGGTGGACTCAGCCTCAACTAAGTTCCATGGTGTGGTGTGTCGTAAAATAAACCAGTACTGGGGAGAAAGGCGGTCGGGCAGGAGCGGTGCTGGCGATCATGCCTGCCTTCAGGAGGTGCTCGCTAACAGCGAGGTGGATCTTTGTCTTTTATACCAAGTGTGCGTGTTCGTGCTGTAGGCTCCAAGGGTTGGATTTGGGCCGTCGTGCCCGTCGTGATGGTGACTGTGGCTGGATTCGTTGGCCTCATATTTTGGATGAAGAAACTGCAAGGGAAAAGATCTCGTCTACGTGAGTCCCGTCCGTACAGGCAGACAAGGCGGTCTCGCCTAGGGCACCCCCAGTTAAGTGGGGCGCCAAATTCTAGTAAAAAATACAAAGCTGTCATTATTTCAATTCTCGTGTGCTTACAGAGGCAATATTAATTATAATTAATTTCTCAACATTGCTTAGACGTTGTTGGTTGGATAGACAAATGAACAAACTGATAAAAAAAAGCTTTCAAAAAAATGAATGGAAAAGAGGGGCAAAATGTTTCCCAGGTTACCAAAAACCCCTCAGCCTAGATCTGCCCTTGGGGTTTGGGCGGTGGTGGGCACCGATTGTGCTGTTTGCTCAGGGCCCTGCCACTTGCTGGCAGCTCGTCCAGGGGCTGCCCCTGCGCCACAACGTGTGGAACTCTTGCGGCTGCATTCGCATGAGCTGCTCTTGGCTGCCACACACCCTGGCGTCTCCAGTGATTTGTTTGAGCCACTTCTCACGGGGTGGGATGACCACGAGGACGGCTCCATTCCATTGAGGGGGGGGGGGAGCGGAGGAGTCGGGTCCCGCAGTTTCACTTTGCAAACGTCAACCACCAACTGAAATTTTCTGCGTGAGTTTGCGCATCAAGACGGGGCGACTGTGTCCACAGAGTGACGGCACAGCCGTCTCCTTCCTCGAACGAAGCTCTCAATCGCTAGGACACCGGTCTCAGACGCCCCAGCGGTGACATTTCCGACGAAGTCGAACCACCGGATGCCAAGAAGGGCGTCTTTGGCAATCGTGGAAGGACTGACAGTCGATCCAAATCAACTTAAAGCAATGTCCAGGCCCCTCCACGCCATACAACAACAAAACTGGCCAGACACATCACTGGTAGATTAATGAGGCTGGTTGTAATCAACGGCGAAACGTCACGGTACTCGAATTGTAAACGTTGTGGGTTTACTTTCCAAAAACACACGAGCAGTGTGCTTAAATAATAACTAATCGGCATGTTTTGTTTACGTGACACACCTTACTAATTGGCTGTGGCGGACATTGGTGGTTTAACGACATTCAAATTTACACAATCCAACTTCATTACGTGATATGTGATAAAAAGCTTAATAGCTCATCGGATTCCTCCTCCGGCAGTGTAAATCAATATTCTGATTCTGTTTTTATTCCCAAGTCAAGGACACCGAAGTTGAGATGCAACTGCTGCATGGCGACGACCACTCCATGCCAACCCCAGTGGAACCACAGGTGACCACTCCTACCGCAACACCACGGCACCACAGGCCACACGATTGCCACTCTGAGCAACGATGCTCCGAGTGAGCGAATAGCAGCAAATCCCGCCAATACATTACGAATAACAACATTTGTAGACATGTTTATATAATTTATGGATTATTATTGTTGATCAAAATCTGAATCTGTATTGAGACTGGAGGAGAAGGAATCCGATGAGCTATGAAGCTCTTTTGTACAGATGTCTGGTAAGGGCCACAGGGTCAGCGAGTGACAGCGAACAAAATGGGACCTTTTTGCCAGTATCAAAGTTTGTTGTTCACCTTTTAGTGTTCTCTGGTCTAACACTGGTGAGACTAAGCCATGGAGAAGGCCGTCTCTGATGTAGGCCAAACAGTTTCAAATACAATGCATCATATTACGAGAGCATGTTTTGCTTGCCTGTTCACCACATGCACTGTGTGTGGTTAATGCAGACTTGATTCCTTGCAAAAGGTTTCGATTTGGTGTTTGAACATCTTCACACGACTTTTTGTTTTATTGCCAGAAAGAGGTCAAACCTATTTCTTATATTTTTCAAACAAACACAAACAAACAATAGGAGCGCAAAATAGAGAAAGGGTAAAACAAGTCACTAAAAGTAAACAAATAATAAAGTTCACAAGTATAAATTGCACAAGTTCAGTGAACCCTCAGTTTAACGGAATAATATGGGAGGGTGGGGGAAGGGGTGTTTGTAGAATCCGATTGTTATTGGCCAAATCGCGTAGCACTAAATCACACCCGACCACACGCAAACTACTTACTTACAGTTCAGTAAATGATCATTATAAAATATTCTAAGGCTTCATGAAAAAAAATGAACACAGTAGTAATAATGATGATACTAGTGCAATAATAACTTTGCATACACGATTAGAGCAGAGGGTTACATGTGGAGGCTCCTCAGGGCAGATGTGTTGGGGGACGTGAGCACGTCGCTGACAGCAGAGCCTCGCAGCTCTCCCATTGGAGGACGAGCTGCTGACCCCATGACGCACACTAGGAAAGGCCTTACAAGCGACATGATTGGAGGAGAAAAGAGCGAGAAGAGAGAGGCGGGGGGGGAAGAGCGGCAGATGCGGGCAGAGAGGGCATAGCGATGGCTGTGTAGAGGTGTTACAGGAGGGCGAACAAACACACCTGGGGTGGTTATGCCCGCACGCGGAAGGATGCTTACATCCAGGTCTGCACCGTTTAGCCTGGGGGGTTAAAACGGCGCTGTGATCCCCCACGGCCCCACCCCTCGGTGGGGGAGTTGCTATATAAGGCGGTGAGCCGGTGGGCTCGGGGTTCAGTGTTTAGCTTAAACCAGCGAAGAAAGAAGACCGGCTAGATAGGCCCTGGGACTCCCCTGGATCGCCGTTCTTCTAAGGACCGACCAGGGCAAGCCAGTGGCGTGGCCCCGAGAGCCCAGAGCCGATGCTCTTATAAGAGCCGGTCTGGGGACTCAGTGTGCCGTAATCCCAGCTTGACCAGAGCTGGGTCAGCTAGCCTCCCCTAGCCCTGTAGTGGAGGACCTGGGAGTAGGCTAGCCGAGATAGAGATTGTGGGATCTCCCTGGTAGGCGGGTGAAGGGGCTGATACCCCTTCGAGTGTTGTATATCTCGGCCTGTATATACAACTGAAGTTCAATAAATAAGTGTGCCTCCGAATACGTCGTCCAAGCCTCCTTGAACCTACTACAGCTGTGTAGGCGGACGCTGGATAGAGAAATAGAGAGGGTTAATATTTACCCGCCTCCCTCGTGGATTTCATTACACATGTTAAAGCCTTTGTAGTCTAACATCATATCAACCTGTTCTGTTGAAACCGTCCAAGCGTGAAACGATCAATGTTCACCTTGTGAAGTTATATATACGATATTGTATTGTCAAATATTTTTAAAGACAAAGTTCTGTAAATGTATTGTTACACCGTCATTCTCCACTTTTATTTCACCTGTGATTTTCTTTTGGGGGGGGCAAAGTCTATCGTTGGTCGTTGTGCAAGCGTGGGGCAAGGCAGCAATACACCAGCGACAGCAATTTAACAGCAACAACAGCGACACACCAGCAACAGCAACACGAGCATCAACGGTCGCAGACCCCACCAAGAAAGCCGTGCTTGAGATGGCCACAGTTGGGATCTGTACTCACAAAATCTCTGCACGTTCCACGGGACATGTTGAGTGTTTAGTTTACTCCCTCTGTAATTTTCCACCACTGCTGACCAACTTGGCCGCAGATAAAGCTGAACGAACCCAGCTTAAATCTTATCTCATACAGCGCTATATAGCGCCTTAAAATTGTACGCAAGATGATAGTGGGTTGAAAACTAAAATTAGTGGGCTTGTTCTTAAAAGTGGTGGTGGGTGTAGTTATGGTAACAGGAGGACAGGTGGGAATGTCAAGGAAGGGTTGGGGTAGTGATAGGGGTTGGGGTAGCCTGGTCGTGGCTGGGCGGTGGGGGCAGGGAGTAGCAGTAGCTGCAGGATTCTGGGCTCGTGTAGAAGAGATGGGGGTTGTTCTGAGGGAGGAATTCAAGCTGCAGGTTTTTGTTGATGGCGAAGATGATTGTTCTGCGTGATGCAGTGGGTTTCTGTGAAGGGGAGCGAGAAGGGAACAGGAATTAGACTGGGCACAGGGTGGCCAGGGAGGCACAGAAAGGGACGGTGGAGACTGAGAGCGAAGAGGACGGGATGGGGCAGAGCAGTAAGAGATGAGAGAAGCAATATTCTGTTGGGCAAGACCACGGAATCAATGTCTGTGTCCATATCTACTGTAATCAGCCCAAGACAGAAGGCAGCGGGCTGATTCCACCACAGGCGGGAGTTGAACTCACGGATATGTGCTTGAAAGTTCCATTGCAGAGTCCACGTCCTAACAGTGGCCGTGTCGCAGGTGGAGGTTGTCGTTGTGAGAGATGCCGTGGAGATGATCCAAGAGAAGATGGCCTCGAGTGGAGGTGCCGTGTGGACGTGGCTGAGTGACAGCCGCTTAGAGCTGCTGGGGAGTGGAGGTGGTGGGGTCGGGCCGCACCTCTTGCTCGACCTCTTCCTGCGGGAGCTCATCGACGAGGTCGAGTACTGGAAGGCACGCGGCCTCCCTGATGCGTCGCGACGGGCACACTACGTCATCGGCCTCGTGGTAGACAGAGGAGAGGAGGCCTGCGGGAAGTTCAGGGACATTTACAAGGACTTCAGTAGCAGGAAGAGAACATTTCTAGACATGCAGAGACAGGCTGGTAAGTACACAAATGACTCGTACATTGCAGCATTACCTGTATTACTGTAACGTGATATTATAATGTAAAAGCACGAATGATTATGTTTCACTGGGCCTTGTTCTGAAATCCATCCCAGTACCTCTTGCGACCCACCAATACTTCACGACCCATAGTTTTGGAACCACTCAGTAACAGCGTTATTATTATTTTCATTGTTACAGAAATCTGCTCACCAACATTCGACCCGAACACAGCAAACAAGATGCTCCTCCTGTCCACGGACCTCAAGACAGTGACGAGAGCAACTCATGCTCATCCGTACCCAGATCACGGGGATAGGTTTGTGAGTCACCCCCAGGTGCTGTGCTCTGAGAAATGCATCTCCGGGCGCCACTACTGGGAGCTGCACGTGGGCTGTGCAGAGCAATACATGGTCGGTGTCGTTAGTACGAATGTGTCCAGAAGTGGTGGGGAAGGTGATCTGGGACACAGCGCTGCTTCCTGGTGCGTGTGGAGACGTGACGCTGAGCTCGTGGCTGCTCACGATGGAGAAGTCACCGTGCTGAACCCGCCAGTGCCTCCCCAGCGAATCGGGCTTCACCTGGACTGTGACCATTCGAAGCTCACGTTTGTTTGTGCCGAGACCATGACGCCTCTGCACACTTTTACACATATGTGGGAACGCCATTTTATGTCTACAAAGAAGTGTCGTTTTTATCCTGTCGTGTGTCTGCACAGCGGTTCGATCACCATAGGTATGGTAATTTTTCTCAACGGTAACGTCCACGTGTGTACAATAACGCAACACAGCCATTCGCATCATTGTGGAGAATATCAGTAACAACATTAATGAGCAGACAGCATGCATCCTTCACATGTCTGTCCCTCTACATAAATAACAAAGTGCTTTGTAATCATCCTATGAGCGACAACGCCTTTCGGTATTGCATAATTTCAGGAGCATTGATTCCACACAAACTCTGGACTGGTTTCGACATGCAGTGTCTCATCAGCAGTCTGGCTCGCTAGAACCAGTGCTGGTGAACTGCCAGATATTTATAGACGATGACCCTCTGATGAGTAAGTGGTGCATTCCCAGAAGTGATGCACTCCTAGATACACGTGCAGGATGCATATCGTCTGCTAGTTTATCTTGCTATGCACACAACAGTAACTGCTATTGGGCTTTCCCGCTCTCCGTCAGGTGCAGCATCACAGTTCTCTTGAACATCACCATAAATAGAGCGATTCAGAGCTTGATGTCATCGTGGGATTCTGCATATTTCATAACTACCAGATGTAAACTTTGGTCGGACCAAGCTCAGTCTCAATCATGTTCAAATTTTTCTCTGTAATTTTATGGTCATTGAAAAGGTGCAAAATCAAAAAGTTGGTATTGCACTGTGTGTATGTATATATACTTAAAAGCCATTATCCGATAGCAAACTTACTTCTGGTTATTTGGTCAAACAATATTTAGAAAGTTTACAGGCTGCCCAATGTTTACACTTATATGCTCAGTCCGAGGGGAAGTCCATGACAGAGATAAATCAATGGTATAAAACATTTACGTGAACATTAAAACATCAGCAAATGCTTCAAAATAGACTCTATCACACCTAAATATACCCTCATGGTTATATTTCTGAATAATTATTGGATAATTCTGGTGATTTCGCAGTGAAAGATGACTGTCGGTCAGAAGCTATTAAAAACACCTATTAAAACATTCCCCAGTGAAATAAGTACCAGATTTAATCCATAGCGTGATTATGATTCTGACATTCCCAGAACTGTAGGGTTAGTCTCGAAATACATAAACGATGAGAAACATGAAAAATAACAACATCATTTACCCCTTTTTAGCAATAAAACAGATGTTAAGACGTTCAAACACCAAATAGTAACCTTTTAAGGAATCAAGTCTGCATTAACCACACGTACCTGTGGTGCACATACAAACATGATTTAATAATATGTGGCATTGTCTTTGAAACTGATTGACCTACACCAGCGACAACCTTCTTCATGGCCTAGTCTCACCAGTGTCAGACCAGAAAACGCCAAAAGACTAACAGTATCATTGCCAAAAAGAGAATGATTAGAAAGTTGAAGGTATTGCATCAGAGAATCATCCCTTCCACTATAATGAATCATGAATGCCCACAAACACGCTCAGGCAGAGTTTAAGGCACCAATTCTCATCCACGCGTTTTGTTCTCTCACTCCGCAGCCCAACCCCTCAGTGGTGGCGTCTCCACTCTTGAGAAGAGTCCAAAACCCGCGTCTGGGTCTACGGCAGAGGGCTCTCAGATGGCACTGCTGCTGTCTAGGAGACCCTATCTCTTACTGCATGAGATGTTGATGCAGGGCCACATCAAGGAGCACGTCTACTGGAAGGCGTACATGGAAAAAGACTCCAGAAAGTGTGAAAAGTTCATCCGCGAGGAAGTTAAACGTGTAAAGAAGGACGGGGAGCTCAAGGTAGTGATGGAAGCCACTAGAAGCAATGAAAGAGACTTCCTCGCCATGTTACAATCGTCAGGTAAGAGACAAACCACTTCAATACCAGCACACCTCATGCTTGCACGCTTCAGTTTATAGTCATCACAAGTGTTATTGTTGTAACATAATTTGTCAATGTCAGTGTACAAGATGTACATTGGGAAGCTTGTCAGGAGAGTGAGACGTCAAGGTGGGCATGAAGTCTCAATCATCTGTGGCTCTGACAACGGTTAACTCTGTCATTGCTGTTGCTGTAAACGATGGCGTTTACGACCTCCGATAAGCACTCTTGGCTACGTACGGTGAGGAAGAAGTTCAACACGCATGCAAACATATCGTTCTTCTTTGTTTTCAGAAAGGTGCTCTCCCACCGTGAATCCCAATTCCGTGAACTCCGACCTCCGCCTCTCCGTCGACCTCAGGACGGTGACTCTGTCCTCCGAGCACCACTCTTACCCCCACCACCCCGAGCGCTTTGAGAACTCTGCTCAGGCGCTGTGCCGCGAGGGCTTCTCCAGCGGCGCGCACTACTGGGAGGTGGACGTGGGCGGCGCGGAGCAGTTCAGAGTGGGCGTCGCGTGCGCCACTCTGCCGCGCGGAGGGAGCGCGGAGGCGCGGCTCCTGGGCGCGGGCGCGGACTCCTGGTGCCTGTGGAGACGCGAGGGCGGCTACGCGGCGAGCCACCGCGGCCGCCACACCGCACTGGCGGCCGTGCGCCCTCCTCCCAGGAAGATCGGCGTTCATCTGCATTTGGAAGAGGGGCTCCTCTCGTTCTACTGCGCCGACACCAGGAGGCGGCTGCACTCATTCAATGCCACCGCCTTCCCAGGCCCTCTCTACCCCGCCCTGTGCGTGCACAAGGGGACGGTCACCATACTTCGCCTGAGTCTACGGTTTGAGGAGGGTGAAGGAGCGACCGGTGAGGTGGGGAAGAGGAATGATGAGGAGAGAGCAGAAGAGAATGGTCGTCAAAGTAAGGCTGGAGTAGCGAGTGATGTGGGAGAGGGTGGAGGAGAGAAGAGTCATTGGGTTGATGGAGGAGAGAAGAGTGAGGTGGGCGATAGTGGGGCAGGGAAGAGTGATGGGTGGGAGAGCGGGAGAGTGAACCCTGATCCTGAGGCGCAGGATGGAGGAGCAGTGGTAAATGCTGCAGGGGAGAGCGGCGATGCGACAAAGGAAGATGTGGAGACTTTTACAGACAACGTGAAAAGTAAAGTTACAAAGAAGAACCTTGTTGGAAAATTCTTGAGTAAGACAGGAAGAAAGAGTGATGAGCATAGCACTAAGGCAATGAAGAGTGAGGTTGGAGAGGATGGGAGAGTGAAGGAGAGTGAAGGAGAGAAGCGTGATGTGAGTCAGCGCGATGCAAAGAAGAGCGGAGTCGTAGAAATCGAAGTGGAGGGTGGAGGAGCAGTAGAAATCACTGACGGGGAGAGTGGCGATGCGAAGAAGGGAGCGGCGGCGACTTTAAAAGACAACGTGAAAAGTAAAGATAAGAAGAACCTTGTTGGGAAAGTTTTGAGCAAGGCAGGAATAAAGAGCGGTGTGCGTAGCGGTGAGGCAGTGGAGGCTGAGGTGGCGCAGGGTGCGAGAGTGAAGGAGCGTGGAGGAGAGGAGAGCGGAGGAGAGAAGAGTATCGTGGTGAAGAGTGAAGAAGGGAAATTCGACGGGTGCAAGAGTGAAGGAGAGACGAGCGATGTGAGTAAGAGTGGAGTTGTAAAGAACGAGGTGGGAGGTGAAGGAGCAGTACAAAGCACCGCTGGGGAGAGTGGGGACACGGTGAAGGGAGCCGAGGGTTCTGTAAAACACATCATGAAGGAATAACGCAGAACCTTGTTGGGAAAGTTTTGAGTAAGGCAGGAACAAAGAGCGGTGTGCGTAGCAGTGAGGGAGTGGAGAGTGAGGTGGGGCAGGATGGGAGAGCGAAGGAGAGTGATGTGGAGGAGAGTGGAAGAGTGATGGAGGAGAGAATGTCGATGGCTACGACTGTCTGTTGAAATGACGACAGTTGTCTCGGAATCTTGGCACGAGTTTACGTCATCCTTTGTGTTTTACATTCGACCCTTGATTATCCGCGTGTGGGGTTTATCCAATCTGCGGATCAACCGCGCACCTGAGATTGACATGAATTAATAACTCATGGATATCCCCTTAAGCTCACGTTAATAGCCTAAAACAGTTACACCTCGTTATTCTTGGAAATGTTTATTACAAGTCACATGGTGCTTAAACCGAACAAATGTGCGCCGGTTAAGCCAAAATCACGTGGTCGCCCCGACAGTACAGTAGTTTGCATATCTTTATAAACTAGGGGCGGAGTTTGATTGGAGTGGCTCTGCTGCTGTCCAATTAGTGGGCGGAATCTTCTTCTCGAGAGTAGGAAAGTCATCACTGAGCGCGTGCATCAAATCGGTCGATTGTTAGTTTTAGGCCATTGTTTGTGTTTTATTTGTATGGACTTTTGTAATTAAACAAGATCAATACATTGACTATGAATTTTAGTTTTGTGTATTCACAAACTATGTTTTGGGTGAGATCACGCAAGTATAAATGTGTCGATTCGTGACTGCAGGAATCCATACTTGTTGGTTTTTTCGGTAAAGTCACGTAGGTAGAAAAACAACAGATCATGACGTTTCGATCGCAACACAAGCAATCGTCATCAGGTGGGACAACCTACTTCAGCAGATTTTTCTTGCTGTGGTTGTCCCACCTGATGATGATTGCTTGTGTTGCGATCGAAACGTCGTGATCTGTTATTTTGCTACCTCCGTGACTTTACCGAAAGAACTAGAGTATAAATGTTCGTTAAACCCGCCACCACCCGACGCAGCCAATTAGAAAGGTTTGTCACGTAAAGAGAATATGCGTCATCTGGTCCAACCCATGTGAGACTAGGCTCTAAGGAAAGCTGTCTCGGGTGTGGACCAATCAACTTCAAGGACAGTGCATATATTACCGGAGTTGTGTTTTTTGTTTGCATTATGGCTGCAGGTATTGTGGTCTATGCAAACATGACTCCTTGTGAAAAAGGTGTCAGTTTTGTTGCCAGATAGAAGGGTTAAAAACAATTATCATTTGTGAGCTCCTCACACAATCCAGCCTGCAGGTTAAACCCAGGATGGATCGTAGGCAGGGCCAGCCTGAATCTATCTAACCCGCGAAGATGTTCCAACCAATACCAATACCCGCCATTCGCCACTAAGTGATGGTGACGTCACCACGGCGCCTGTGCCAGGCCAGGTGTATTTTGAGGCCACGTGAAGTGTCGAAGGCTCGCTGATAGGTCTTAAGACAGACCCAGGTGCCATGGGTTGACCGACTGAGATGATCAGTAGATGCACCACCAGCTGTACCCCCTACTGTGCCAACGTGTTGTATTTTAGCTCCCCGGCGCTGTGCTCATTGTTGTGAGCGTCACTCCTATGCCCTCCGTTGTTGCTGGAGGCTGACAACCACACAACCACTACCACCACGACCACCACCACCACTACACGGGGGAAGAGACGCAGCATCCTTTATTACGTCGGTACCGCCTCAACTGCGCAACCCCTGGATCCTCACGTGCGTACGGCTTGGGATAAAACGCCCCTCCCGTGGGGGCAAGCCTTTTCCCACTGCGAGGGGTAGCGTTCTTCAAACTCACCGCAATCAGCAAATCCCCAAACTCCACGGCGTTGCGGGGAGAAGTCGGAGGTGGTTTGGTTCCCGGTTCGCAATACGACACTCACCCACCCCTCCTGCTGTTTTAAGCTACCCTGCATCAACCCAACACGTTAAACGGGAGAGTATTTTGAACGTAAAATACGATTCTCGTTACCTAGTGACGAATATAACGTGTACGGTAAATGTATAGAATGAACAAAAAATTACATAGTGTATGGTTACTGTACTTAATGGGACCTCCTTTGCCAGTACAAAAACATGAGAATAGTTTTCCCCTTTTTTCTGGCAACAAAACTTAAACATTTTGCAAGGAATCATGTCTGCATTAACCACAAAACTTGTGGACAGAATGCAAACAAAAAACACACTGATAATATCTGTAGCATTGTATTTGAAACTGATTGGTCCACACCAGAGACAGCTTTCTTTCGAGCCTAGTCTCAAACGGTGTTAGACCAGAGAACGCCAAATGGCCTACTGTTTACCGTACTGTTTCCTGTAAAGTTACCGTGCTGTTTTCTCTACAATTACTGTCAAGTTACTGCACTGTCCACTGCAGGAAGAGAAATGGCGTGCGACTGAACCTCGCTGCCTCCTCATTGGAGGCTGGGAACGCCACGTGGCCTGGAACCCGCGATAGGAGACGAGGCAGCAGTCAAGACGGGAAGACGAGAGGCAAATCCCTTTGCCGTATAATGAATCCGCGTGTGGGCCTGCGAAATTAACATAATTTATCACCGACTCAGATTCAATGCGGCACCGTCACAGCGCTCGCAGGTGGCGGGAGAGCCTTAGTGGCGCAAACCTCCATCGTTGTCTGCGGTGCAGCCCGCCACGTTTTTGTGCGAAACTAACGTCGGTGGACGGTCGCCTCCAGAGAGAGAGAGTGTCGAGTTGTTTACTCAAGGAGGATACCCAGCCACAGCAACAACGTCAACAACAACATCAGCTGCTACATCCGCCTTTGTGACGTCACCACGGTAATGTCGCCTGGCTCCGTGCAATTTGAGGCCATCACGTGAAGCGCGCAAGGCTCGCTGCTGGCACGGGGGTCACGGGACAGACCCTGCAGGTGCCATGGGTTGACTGGCCGAGATGGATGGCAGCTGCACCATCCGTGCCCCCCTACGGTACCAGGCTAGGTGCATGAGGTCACGGGACAGACCCTGCAGGTGCCATGGGTGGATTGACTGGCAGATGCACTACCAGCTGTGCACCCAAATGCACCAAATCGCTGCCCAATCGTCGGGGCGATCCTCGGAACCACACGCGTCACACACCCCGTGATGCATGCCCGCCCTAACCCCCCCCCCCCCACTGACCCCCCTCCACCCTCTAATCCCCCCTCCACACTCCACCCGCCCGATATTTCTGGAACTTTTCTGAAAATTCACCCAACTCCTCCTACTCCGACTCCTCCTTTACCACCAAATCTCTCTCCGCCAGTCATCAGCCAATCCCAGCACGACCCTTACTCCCCTATAAACCACCACCCCACCCCCCACTCTCCCACCCCACCCCCCACTCTCCCACCACCCCCCCACTCTCTGCATCGTCCGTCAGTCGCTGTCCTCCCCTTCTCCCTCGTCTCCGCCCCGCTCCGCCGGGCCCCGCAGGCTGCACACGGTGATGCAGCTGCACCCGTGGAACCCGCTGAGCCTCAGGGCCGGGTGCAGGGGCTGCGTGAACCCGCCGGGCACCAGGAACGTGTGCAGCGGCACGGCGGGCCGCTCCGCGTCGTAGAACGACAGCTCCCCGGCCTCGTGGTCCAGGTAGACGCCCAGCCGGCGCAGCGGAGCCTGCTGGCCGCCGCTGCCGTCGCGCCGACTGCTGCCAACCGTCCCGGCCACGCCCCCGGTTCTGGCTCCTCCCCCGGCTCCGGCTCCTCCCCCTCGGCCGCCCATCGCCAGCTCCGCGCGCCGCTCGGCATGCACGGCCGTGTAGCTGGAGCCGGCGCGGCGCGCGCACCACGAGACCGCGTTGCGGCCCAGGCCGCAGGCATTGGCGCTGCCCTTGCGTGCGATGCTGCCGTAAGCGGCGCCCACGCGCCAGTAGGCGGCGCGGCTCACGTCCAGCTCCCAGTAGTGGCGGCCCGGGCCGTAAGCCTGCGTGGCGAGGACCTGGGGGGTGGGTGGTAGGGAGGGTGGAGGGTGGGTGGGGTGCCGGCGGTGTCGAGATCGTCCTCTGTGGAGGAGGAGGAGGCTCGTTTTCAGTTTCATTGATTAGGTATAACCCTGTGAGCCATGCGGCTCTTGACTCGGGTTCAACCGCAACAAAAACATGAACAAGAAACATCTTAAAGTGACTACAAGTCGGAGGCAGTCGCCCTTCAGCAACAATGGAGGGCGGAGGAGCGACGCTCACAACAATGAGCGGAGCGACGGGCAGATAAAACACAGAAAGTTGGCACAGTAGGGGGCACAGCTGGTGGTGCATCTACCCGTCATCTCAGTCAGCCAATCCATGTCACCTGCTGGGTCTGTCCCGAGACCTCCTGCACCTAGCCTGGCACGGTGTTGCCCACCTGCTCCCAGTAGTCAAAGCGTCCTGAGTTGTCGGCGCAGCGCTGCTTGCGCTCCCCGCACGCCGCGCTGCGCAGATCGGCCGAGAGCAGCAGCCTGGGATGGGCCGTGGAGGGGTCCAGCGTGGGGGAGCGGGCGTCTGGTGGGGGGAGGGGGGGTGAGGGGGGGGGCAAAGACAGCACGGGGAGGGATGAAATAGTCACTCCCCCCCCACACACTCACTCCCGCACCCGCTCACCCGCTCACCCGCACACCCGCACACCCACTCACCCGCCCACCCGCTCACCCACCCACCCACTCACCCACTCACCAGAACACCCGCCCATCCGCACACCCACTCACCCGCCCACCCACTCACCCGCTCACCCGCCTATCCGCTCACCCGCCCACCCGAACACCCGCCCACCCGAACACCCGCTCACCCGCCCACCCACCCACCCACCCACCCACTCAACCCACCCACCCCCCCACCTCCACACCCACCCCCCACCCACACTCATGGAAGGGGGGCGCGTTGGCGCCCGCCGGCACGGAGATGGAGCCGAAGCTGCGGAGTCGCTCGTCCACCGCCTCCTCCAGCAGCGCCACCTTCTCAGCGCTGAGCTCACGGGACAGCGGCGGACGCTCCGTGGGGGCTCAGCCCACAACCTGGAGGGGGGGTTGGGCACAGGGAGGTGGAGGGAGGGCACGGGGAGGTGGGGGGAGGGCACGGGGAGGTGGGGGTGGGTAGGGGGTGGGTATGGGTGGGTAAGTAGGGGTGGGTAGTGGTAAATAGGGGTGGGTAGGGGTGGGTGTGGGTAGGCGTGAGTAGGGGTGGGTAGGGGTGGTGGGTAGGGGGTGGGTATGGGTGGGTAGGGGTAGGGTAGGGTTGGGTGGGTAGGGGTAAGTAGGGGTGGGTAAGGGTGGGTGTGGGTAGGGGTGAGTAGAGGTGGGTGTGGGTGAGTAGGGGTGGGTTGGGGGTGAGTAGGGGTGGGTGTGGGTAGGGGTGGATATGGGTGGGTAGGGGTGAGTAGGGGTGGGTAGGGGTGGGTAGGGGTGAGTAGGGGTGGGTGTGGGTAGGGGTGGGTAGGGGTGGGTGTGGGTAGGGGTAGGTAGGGGTGGGTAGGGATGGGTGGGTAGGGGTGGGTGCACGACAGAAGAACTCTGGACCGGTTTCGACACCCAGTGTCTCATCAGCAGCAGCAGCAGTCAGCCTCAACATCAAGGCACGCTGCACACACTACACACACTACACATGTGTAGTGACATAGAATAAGTAACGTAACAGCATAGCGCTGGCTGCTGGCGAGGAAGGGGATCTGTGGCTTGCAGCAGCCCTGACGTCAGCAGGCCACGTGATACACCAGAAGGGATAATCTGGGGGAAAGGTCACAGAACTGGCTGGTAGGTTCTAGAGAGGGGCGTGGTCGGAGTGGAGCATCCGGCCACGCCCCTGGGAGCATAAAAGGAGGCCCTGAGCGAGAGCTCGGGGCTGTCGTTTAGAGTGAGACCCCCATCGTGCTTTTGAAGATCGTCGCCATCGTCGCTGTCGTCTCGTCGCCACCGTTGCTGTCGTCTTCACTCGATATTGCGATGCTAGACGGTGGTTGGCTGTCTCGGTTCAGCGCCGTCAGTGTCAGACGGCTCGTGTTGTGTATAGGCTCGCGACCCACGTAGAGTTGTGTAGAGAAGAGTGACAGAAGAGTGTGCACCAGCGTAGGCTGTGTCTTGTGCAAAGGGTGCTCGGTTAAATAAAATAATAAAATATAACAAATCAAGACGTTTCGATCGCAACACAAGTGGTCGTCATCAGGCAAAGGAATTAACCTCTAAAGTCAAACTGTTTATGCAGGTTTGTGGATGGGCGTAGCCCAAGGGTATCAACAACACCAGAAGCACGAGTGATGCACGAGTGCCAATGCAGCAACAATGCCAATGCAGAAACAATGCCAATGTAGCAGCAACATTGGCATTGTTGCTTCATCCGCCCGTGCTTCTGGTGTTGTTGACACACTTGGGCTACGCCCATCCCCAAACCTTTATAAACAGTTTGCCTTTAGAGGCCGACTCCTTTGCCTGATGACGACCGTTTGTGTTGCGATCGAAACGTCGTGATTTGTTTTATTTCTACCCACGTGACTTTACCAAAAGTACCAAAGAGTATGGATTCCTGCAGTCACGAAAGCTTCAAATCAAGATTAAATAAATCAAGTGGCACCTTAGCGTCTTCGAGGAAGGCACTACACATGTACACATGCGACGCACGCTACACACCCTACACATTGCACATGTACACCCCACACACCCGGCACATCCTACACACTACACACATACACACACTACACCCCCCCTGTACTCACTACACACTACACAAACTACAACCTACACACACGACAGACCCTACACACCCCCCCCCCCCCGTAACTCACTTGTCGAAATTCGGCTTGCGTATCTGTCGACAGAAGAGAGAACAAACAGGGTGAGAGTGGTCATGAAATGCACTACTATACACTACTCACTACACTATACACTACACTATACACGACTACACACTATACTACACTATACACTACACTATACACTACTATACACTACACTATACACTACTATACACTACACTATACACTACTATACACTACTATACACTACACTATACACTACACTACTATACATTACACTATACACTACGCTACTATACACTACACTACTATACACTACTACACACTACTACACACTACACTACACACTACACCCCCCCCCACCACCCCCACCTTGAGGAAGGGGAGCATCCCGTCCGCGTCCCCCACGCGCAGCAGCTCCCCCAGCCTCCCGTGGGCGTCCCTCAGGGGCCGCAGTGTGGCGCCCCGCAGCGCCTGCAGCTCGCGCTCGGCCCCCCGCAGCTCCCGCTGCAGCTCCTCGCCCAGCAGCGCCAGCACCGCCGCCTCCTCGGCACGCGCCAGGCGGCGCAGCTCCGCGTACTTGTCCCGGACGCGCTCGCGCACGCGCTCCGCAGACTCCTTGCGGTGGTGGTGGGTGAGGTGGATTGGTGGGTGGGGTGGATTGGTGGTAGGTGCAGGGTAGTGGGGTGGGGTGGGTGGGGTGGGGTGGAGTGGGTGGGGTGGATGGGGTGGGTGGGGGGTGGTGGGGTGGGGGTGGTGGGAGGTGGTGGAGGAGGAAATGGAGGGGGGTGGGTGGGGTGCCAGAAGTGGGGGGAGATGGAGGAGGAGGTGGAAGAGGTGGAGGAGGTGGAGGAGGTGCAGGTGGAAGTGGAGGAGATGGAGGAGGACGTGGAGGTGGAAGAGGTGGAGGAGTAGGATGAGGTGTAGGAGGAGGTGAAGGATGAGGTGTAGGATGAGGTGTAGGAGGAGGTGAAGGATGAGGTGTAGGAGGTGTAGGAGGAGGTGTATGTACCTGCAGGCTGGTGCAGCTGCCCTGCACGTAGTGGATGTGGCTCTCCACGCTCCTCCTGCGGTCACCCAGCGCCGTCCGGAGGTCGACAATAGCCCTCTGTGGGAGGGGTGCGGAGTGGCGCCGTGAGGACACCCTGGGCCGTGAGGATGCCCCGGGGCCTGCCCCTGGGTCGTCTTGGGGGTGGTGGAGGGTGGGTTAAGGTTTGGATGGGTAGGTGGGTGGGTTGGTGGGTGGGTTGGTAGGTGGGTAGGTGGGTGAGTTGGTGGGTAGGTGGGTGGGGTAGGTTGGTGGGTGGTTAGGTGGGTGGTGGGTTGGTGGGTGGGGTAGGTTGGTGAATGGTTAGGTGGGTAGATGGGTGGGTGGGTAGGTGGGTAGGTGGCTGGGTTGGTGGGTGGGTTGGTGGGTTGGTTGGTGGGTGGGTTGGTGGGTTGGTGGGTGGGTTGGTGGGTTGGTGGGTGGGTTGGTGGGTTGGTGGGTGGGTGGGTAGGTGGGTAGATGGGTAGATGGGTGGGTGGGTGGGTAGGTGGGTGGGGTGGGGTAGGGTTGGAGTGGTAGAGGGCTCCACCCACCCGCTGCGTGGCGAACTCCTCGTAGGCGCTGGCCACTTGGTGGCCCTGTGCGGCGCAGGCGGCGGCGCAGGAGCGGCACCCCAGGAGCTGCTCGTCACAGCAGAACGAGTCCAGCGGCTCCCCCGCGTGCCTCCTGCAGACGTCGTCGTCGTCATCGTCGTCGTCGTCGTCATCGTCGTCGTCTTCGCTGCCTTCGAAGTCAACGCCGTTATTCAATTCGTCGCCACCACCATCACCGCCATCACCGCCATCATCGTCGCCACCGCCACCATCGTCGCCACCATCGTCGCCACCAGCGTTGCCATCACCGCCAGCAGCAGCAGCTTGAACGCAAACATGAACAGTGTCAACGTGAACAGTGTCAACGTGAACAAACTCCATAAGACCCCCCTCCCTCTCCGCCTCTGATCTCTGCACCTGATTGGGTATAGGGATTGGGTTCATACATAAATAATACACATTACAACGAATTACTAATCTATAACTGATTACTAATCATAACAACTGATTAGTAATATATTACATAATTACAATACCCTCCGCCTCTCCGCCTCTGATCTCTGCACCTGATTAGATTAACTGACGATGAGGTCACCCTGCTGCTGCTCTATCTACGACTGGGAGCGGGTGGAGGGCTTCACTATTCTGGCAAATCACCCGATGATGCTGGGGATGTCATTACCAGCGAAACGTCACAGTACTCAAACATTGTAAATGTTGTGGATTCACTCTTCGACACACCGGTGGGCTAAAGTAGCGAACTATTTTGTCTTTTGTCAACTGATTGGCCGTGTCGGGTAGTGGAGGGTTGCGACACATTTATAAATAACGCGGTCTAACCCAGAAACCTTTATTATGAATAATATTGGTCGCGAAAGCCTACGTGTTAAACAAACTCCACTGCCATCATCATCACCACTGTTAATATCACCAGCACTAACAACAATACCACCACCAACACCTCCACTACCATCACCAACACTACCAACACCACCACTGCCACCACCAACACCAATACCTCCACCACACCACCATCACCTCCATTACCACCACCAATACCATCACCTCCTCCACCACCACCATAACCTCCACCACGACAATCACCACCACCTCCATGAGTAGCAGCAGTCTCGATGCGAAGGCTGTCCGCTCCGTGCTGCCGCCGTTCCTCCGCGCCACCGCTGATCACACCCCACGCCTCCGCATCTCCTCCACCACCTCCACCACCTCCACCACCTCCACCACCTCCACCACCTCCACCAGTGGCCCCACGCCCCACCAGTTCCTCCGTCTCCACCTCCTTCCCATCTCCCGGGTGGCCCTTGTCACCGTGCCGGGCTCCATTACCAAACTCGGCCTCCAGCTCCTGATGATCCTCCTCATCCTCCTCCTCCTCATCCTCCTCCTCATCATCCTCCTCCTCATCATCCTCCACCTCCTCGTCCACCTCCTCCACTTCGCCATTCTCGTTCTCATGGCCTACAGTGCGGGTTGAGGCTTCGTGCCTGTCCCACGCCCCCGTCACAGAGTGGAACTCCCCATGGGGAGTGGCGGTGGTGGTGCTGGGGGCAGAATCGAGGCCTCCTCCGACTCCGACTCCTCCATCCTCTGGGTGCCCGGACCGTCCTGAGTCCATGGCTCTCTTCTATTCCCGCCTCTCCTCTTCTCTTCCCTCCTCTTCTCTTCCCTCCTCTTCGCTGCAAATGATCTCCCCACGTGGGCAACGCGGGGGACTCGTCGGTGACTACGACATGAGGGGCCGAGACACAAGGAGGAGATTTTAATTTGACATTTATCGGAGATGTAAGACCGAAGATTGTGGCTGCCAGTCGCACTGTGTGTGTTAGTGTGTGTGTTAGTGTGTGTGTTAGGTCTGTGTGTGTTAGTGTGTGTGTTAGGTCTGTGTATGTGTGTGTTAGTGTGTGTGTGTAAGGTCAGTGTGTATGTGTGAGGTCTGTGCGTGCGTTTTTTGAGGTACTAATCAGTTACACATCTCAATTCCATCAAATACTTGATCGGGTGTCCGTTTATCATCATTCCATTTTTGTTATATTTTTTCCATTATGCTATTTAATTGTACTCATTGTAAAGCAACCGTGATCACTGAAAGCCACCGTGGGCGCATTAACAAAACCTTCACGTGCAGCCAATAGTGGAGCCAGGATTTTCAGGTAGGGAGGGCAACCCATCCAGCCACGAAAAATGATATGAGTTGTTAGTAAGTAACGAGTTGTTTGTAAGGACTTGTTCCTTGCTTTTTATTAGACGCGCGTGTGCGGCAATGGCGCATCGATCGAGGGTCGAATTAGAACTGCGTGCGATCAGCATCGCGCTCGCTGATGGTGTTTGCCTTCAGCGAAGTCGTGTCCTGTACACGCAACTGCGCACAATTCTGTGAGTCACTTATAACTGCTTTGCCGTTACTTATTGCCAATTATGGACGCAGACTATTGTCCTATCACCTCATAATCGCATTGTTTCAAATTGCGATTAATCGATTTGAAATCGCGAGTGACGTCGTCGTCCGCGAGTGACGTCGTCGTCCGCGAGTGACGTCGTCGTCCGCGAGTGACGTCGTCGTCCGCGAGTGACGTCGATGGTGACGTCCGCGAGGCAAAGCAGCGCGCGCCGCGGCATTGAGTTGCGCCCGGCAGCTGCAGGAGTCGGCTTTCCAGCAGCTGTTACGCTCGCGTACGTGGCCCGTTACAAGTTAAAAACAGAACTACAACACAGTGCTACACCAACAAAAATACGACACTCTGAAAGCTAGAGCCGAACAGCATTGTAATAATGCCTAACACTCGATGTATTCATCTTGATTTGAAGCTTTCGTGACTGCAGGAATCCACACTCTGGTTCTTTCGGTAAAGCCACATGGGTAGAAAAATAAAACGAAATAAAAATAAATTTTCACGACGTTTCGATCGCTAATCACTACTGCAGTTATTGTGATGTTTATGGGTGAGGACACAGGCAGCAGAGGGGTGTGGGGAGGAGAGCACGTTTAAAAAAAGTACGAGAGGGAAATAGACATTATTTGCCTGGATCAAAGTATGAAAAAACAATAACAGGTTTTACCCTTTCTGCCAATAAAACAGGAGGCGTGAAGATGTCCAAAAACCAAATAGAAGCCTTGTGCGAGGAATCAAGCCGCTGCTTGTGGTGAACATGCGAGCAAAACGTGCTCTGATAATAATATATGATGCGTTGTCTTTGAAACTGATTGGTCTCCACCATTGATAGCGGCCTTCTTAGGGCCAAGCCTCACCACCTGTGGCAGTAGACAACGCCAAAAGGCGAACAGTGGAGACCAATCAGTTTCAAAGACAACGCATCATTTATCACTATCAGAGCACGTTTTGGTTTGCTTGTTCACCACGAGTCGCGTGTGTGGTTAATGCAGACACGATTTCTTGAAAAGGGTTTCTATTTATGGTTTGGACATCTTAACATCTGCTGTGTTATTACTGCCAGAAAGGGGACAGCCTATTCTTATTTCTTTCAAACTTTCTAATTGGTGTGTGAACATCTTAACACCTGCTGTGTTATTACTGCCAGGAAAGTTAAAACCCTATTATTTTTCGATTTAAAGCTTTCGTGACTGCAGGGATTCATCTTCTTGGTTCTTGACTTTACCGAAAGAACCAAGAAGACCTATTCCTATCCTTTCATACAACAGAAAGTATCAATGGCGGTGAAGACATTGATGGGGGAACAAAAAGAAACACTCATAAGGAGCGAGGCCAGCCAAATGCAGACCTTGCCTGGATGCTGGACCTCCAAGGCCTGGTGCAGCATCACAAGACGCAACGCGACACAAACAAACGAAACATCTAGATTTAAAGCTTTCGTGACTGCAGGGATTCATCTTCTTGGTTCTTTCGGTAAAGTCACGTAGAAGGGAAATAATAAAATAATAAAAATAAAACATAATAAAATACAATTCTCACGATGTTTCGGCCACAACGCAAGCAGCCGCCCTCAAGTGAAGCTTGGCAGCGTTAGGGGAGGAGAGCGCCTTAACAAAGAAAGTTGCATATCAACAGAGGAATTTAGCATAGTTATGGAAAATGCTGATATGGGATTAGTCACTACTTGTGAAATGCGTAGGTGGTGGGGGGGGGGTCTCAAAGTCATATTATGCCCGTGCATTATGTAGGAATAGCAGCAACAAAAGGAGGAAATAGGGTTAGCAGTAATAAAGGGAAGGAATTTTAATAGTAAGGAGCTGCAGCAGCCAACAAACGAAACATCGCCAACTATCACGGCTAAATGAACACCGAGAAGACGCGAGATGACCGACGTTCCGATCGAAATAGGCTACTTCAGCAGTTTTTTTTCTTGTTGTGGTTGTCCCACCTGACGACGATTGCTTGTGTTGCGATGGAAACTTCGTGATCTATTAATTTTCTACCTACGTGCCTTTACCGAAAGAACCAAAGGGTATGGATTCCTGCAGTCACGAAAGCTTCAAATGAAGATGGGAAGAGAGGTGTTTCAGCAAAGGGCAAGGCCGGCCTCGGCTACTCAGGCCTCGCCTACACACCAGGATGACAAAGCCTCACACCACCACAAGCAATTAGAGCTTGGCAACAACAACCACAACAACAACCACAACAACAATCACGAAAAACCCGAGACGGGTACAAGAAGAAGAAGACGCGCAGCTACTCGCGAGACCTCCACCAAAAACAAAGCGACAGATGTGACCCCAGAAGGTTTAGAAATTGTAAGAAAATAATCAAATACGTTCAGTAGCTCACTGCACCATGTCCTCTCTCAGTGTGTGTGTGTGTGTCAGACGCGTGTGTGTGTGTGTCAGACGTGTGTGTTCGGTCTGTGTGTGTTAGGCGTGTGTGTGTGTTTTAGACGTGTGTGTTAGGTCTGTGTGTGTTAGGTTTGTGTGTGTGTGTTTGGCATGTGTGTGTGTGTGTGTGTTAGACGTCCAACACCAGTGACGATTATTTGAACCGGTCTTGGACCTCCCCTAGGTAGACTCAGCCTTAAATGAGTACCTGGTGCGGTGTGTAAACATCGCCACTGGGGAGACAAAGGCGGCCGGGCGTGGTGCTGGCCACCCACCCCCTCGTGTGCCACAGTGCCGGCCTTCATAGGTGCTCGCTAACAGAACTCGCCCCAATAGTCTGGTGAGGCTATACGGGGGATCTTTGTATTTGTGTGTATGGCTGTGTGTCTATGTCTGTACGTATGTAAGTGTGCCTGTGTGTGTAGAGTTAGGTGTCTGTATGTCTGACTAGGTCTATGTCTGTGTGTCTGTGTATATGTATCTGTGTCTGTCTCTGTCTGTTTGTGTATGTGTGTGTGTCTGTCTGTCTGTGTGTCTGTGTGTGTGTCTATGTATGTGTGTATATGTCTGTGTATTTGTGTATATGTCTGTGTATATGTCTGTCTGTGTGTGTCTATATCTATGTGTGTGTCTCTGTGTGTGTCGGGTTCTGTGCCTTACCTCGCTATCCGTGCCAAAAGAATCGTCGCTTTCTCTCCGTCAGCCCTCCTCTCTAGCTCCCATCGCGGTCACGTGGGCACCAGCCCAGCCCACCACATCCAGTATCCCCCCACCCCCAACTTCTCACCGTCTCTCTGTGCGTCTCTCTCTGTGCGTCTCCCTCTGTGAGTCTCTCTGTGAGTCTCTCTCTCTCTGTGTGTCTCTGTCTCTCTCTCTGAGTCTCTCTCTTTCCGTCTGTGTCTTTGTGTCGGTCCGTCTGTGTTTGTCTTCGTCTCCGTCTTCCTCTCTCTCTCCCTGCTCTCTGCGAGTGAGTGAGGATCTCTATTGGGATATTTACGGATTTGTGTTTTATGTGTGTCTGTGTGTGTGTGTCTGTGTGTGTGTGTCTGTGTGTGTGTGTCTGTGTGTGTGTGTCTGTGTGTGTGTGTCTGTGTGTGTGTGTCTGTGTGTGTGTGTCTGTGTGTGTGTGTCTGTGTGTGTGTGTCTGTGTGTGTGTGTCTGTGTGTGTAACTGTGTGTGTGTGAGTGAGGATCTCTATGAGTGAGTGACACTGAGTGAGTGACTGAGTGAGTGACTGAGTGAGTCTGTGACTGAGTGAGTCTGTGACTGAGTGAGTGACACTGAGTGACTATGGGTGAGTGACTATGGGTGAGTGACTATGGGTGAGTGAGTGACTATAGGCGATTATGGGCGAGTGAGTGAGTGACTATGGGTGAGTGAGTGACTATGGGTGACTACGGGTGAGTGAGTGACTATGAGTGACTATGGGCGAGTGATCTCTATGGGTGCTGCCGCCTCTGCCCGTCTCTGGTATCCCCGCTATGCCCACTGCTGCTGCTGCTTCTATCTTGGGCTGATCAGATTCGTTACAGATCTTAGGTTTCCCTGGGGGGTGGAGGAAGGGGGGGGTGAGGGGGGTGGGTGAGGGGGGGGTGGAGGGGGGTGGAGGAAGGGGGGGTGAGGGGGGGGTGGAGGAGGGTGGAGGGGTGTAGAGGGGGGGGGGTAGAGGGGGGGTCGAGGGGGGGTGGAGGGGGTCTCGAACCCCGGGGAATGCCACGCGGGGCGTCATCCGCGCGCGTTTACACCACAAAGACAAAGGTGCCCCGGGTGTCCTCTAGCTGGACCGCAGAGGCAAGTGCTGCTACTCGCCGACAGCAGCAGCGTCTGTGAAGGCCGCCACTGGTGGCGCACACAGACGGGTGGCCAGCACCAACACGCCCGGCCGCCTTTGTCTCCCCATAGACAGATACACTTTAACACACGGACATATCCCCTATATAGCCTTGACAGACTATAAGGGGCAAGTGTTACCGGCACCGTGGCACACAGGTGTGCCAGTGTGCCTTGTCTCTCACCAGTGCTAGCGATGTTGAATGCACAGCACCGCTACACCAGCTGCTCACTTGAGGCCGAGTCGACCTAGGGCAGGCCCGGTACAGATACATCGCTATCGCTGGGTGTTTTAAGCCAGTTTTTTAAAACACACCTGCTCATACACCGGGTCGTAACCTAAACATCGAACGCATTTCGCCATCACCGTGTCCCTCGGAATTGCCTCGTTATGAATGGAGGCCATTGGACATGCAGATTCCAAATCGTAACAATGGCGGGGAAACGAAGCTGGACTTTTGGGGGGGGGGGGGGTGAGAGAAGGGAGACGATGATTGGCCGAGGGGGGGGAATGGGGGCAGGTTAGCGAACCTTTGAGAATAGAGGGGGGGAAAGGGGGGGCCGTGAGGGCTATAAAAAGGGGGGAGAGCACGAGGCGAAGGGACACTTGGAGGGAGGTCGAAGTTCAAGTATCAAGAACCAAAGTGTCTCGGCCTCACTGTGCGCTGCACCGCTAGGCGAGTAGTTAAGCTCACATCCGATAAACCCTCAGAGCCAGAGCTGAACACATCCGACTCCAAACGTCATTTATTGATTTGAACGAGGTAAAAATAGACGACACTTCTTAAAATCCCACAATGGACAATTATAGCCGTCTTCACGGAGGCGATGTGTGCCGCCATCTTGAATTCTGTAATGGCGGAACCCCAGCCTCGTGGTCAATCGGAACTTCCTGGTCACGTGACCAAACAGGAAATTCCGCTTCGTCTTGGTTCTTTCGGTAAAGTCGCGAAGGGAAATAAAATAATAAATATAAAACTAAATACAATTCTCACGACGTTTCGGCCACAATGCAAGCAGCCGTCCTCAGGTGACAAACAGGGCTGTCGGAAAGACGGCGTCTGAATGAACACCACCAAGCTTGGCAGCGTATATTTAAGCAGGGGTTAGAGGAGGAGAGCGCCTTGACAAAGGAATTTAGCAGGAAATTCCTGTGTAAACACGCCCCCCACAGAGCAAAACACCTGCCCGTGAGGCAGAACACAAAGCCTGGACCACAGGAAGTGCGTTGTGCCCTCAACATAAAAAAGTTTGAGTATGCCAAGCAAGGAATGTGCTCGCATTAAAGGTTTCTTGTGTCTGTAGCTCCTCCACCGCCCGACGCGGCCAGTAAGGTTCCTCGGGTAAAACATTGCGCCAATTGGTTACTCGTATATAGTGTATAGTGGTGGAGTGTATAGTGTATAGTGGTGGCGTGTATAGTGGTGTGTAGTAGTAGAAGATTGTGCTGAGGCGGCTCGTGGGGGACCGAGGGGCCATGCACACGACGATGGGAATTCGCAAACCGGGAAAGATTGAAAGAAATGAATAAAAAGTCTAGCATTTTATTATTTCATACAATGTCATCTTTTTACCCGCCAATCCCCAAAAACACCCATAAAATAAAACTCTTTTCTGAACGCAATTTAGGCAAACTTAAACACAGTTTGGAATATTTAAAATATATGTGTAGCAACTCTCGAACGCCAATCGCGGATCTGTCCGGCTTCTAAAACGCGATGTTAATCAAATCAACGCACGCATTAATCTGCAGACCGAGGGGGTGAGTAAGTGCAGAGCCCAACACCGCATCCAAATCGTCACTACAAAAGAACACCGTGAGTGTGGTGGTTCAGTGTGTAAACATGCTTATCAAAGTGCCAACATTAAAACAGATATAAAGCATAAAACTACTGTAAAAAAATACATAAACTATTCATGGTAAGGCAACACAGATATAATCACAACTATCGCCAGCCGTCACACACGCCGAGTGTTCTTAGAAAAGAGCTATTGGATGTTTTTATTAAAGTAGAATATATTTTTAAGATTGGTTGATTATCCATTCCTGGAATGTAATGCTTTCACGTACGAGTTGAACCTAACGGCTTAAAAACCTCACGCCCGGAGTAGTTAAAGGACATTTCAAACCATTTTTAAAAAGACACGAAGCCGAAAGTTATCCCCCCCACCCCGACTTCCAAATGTGGCTCAAATTTATTTTTTATATTACTTTTTTATTATGGCCCAGGGTTCAATAATTTAATATCTTGGCAGTGCAATATGGCACTCGGCTACACGAGCCACGCCCCCCACCCAGGCCCCGCCCCCATCCCACAAGCCACGCCCCCACAGGCCCCGCCCCCATCGCACGAGCCACGCCCCCCACCCGGGCCCCACTCCCACGTGGAGCAGTGCCGTGGAGCAGCAGCGGCAGCTCCAGATTCACATCGAGGGTCCGCGGGTTGCCCTGGGGAATGGACCGCACCGTTAGCTTACGTACGGTGCCAAAGCCGTTCACAACTTGCAAATCGGCATCTGTACGCACGTATACGATGGGCAGCAACCATGAGTTCCCCCCCCCACCCCGTAAATCGCCTCCAACGGATTGTTGGGGCGAGCGCTGTTAGCAGCGAGTATCAGCACCGATGAAGGCCAGGCACTGTGGCACACAAGGGCCGTGGGTGGCCAGCACAATCCCCGGCCGCCTTTGTCTACCCCAGTGGCGATGTTTTGTACACTGCCCCAGGTACCCATTGGAGGCAGAGGCGACCTGAGGGGGGTGGGGGGGTGCCCAGGACCGATTGAGATAAATCGCGAGCGGCGTTGGTCGTGAACGGGAAGCGACCTCGGGTCTCCAGCACTGGACAGCGCCAACCGCTGCACCATCACTCCCCATCAAAAGACAAAGATCCCCCGTATAGCCCGAACAGACCGTTGGGGCAAGTGCTGTTATAGCGACTAGCACCTATGAAGGCCGGAACGGTACACGATGGGGTGGGGTGGCCAACACCACACCCGGCCGCCTTTGTCTCCCCGTTTGCAATTTTTTTACGCATCACACCAGGTACTCAAATTGAGGCCGAGCCGACCTAGGGGAGGAGGCCCAGGACTGGTTCAGATAATTGTCACCTGGTGGTGTTGGCTGTGAGCGGGAATCGAACTCGGTTCACTAGGTTCGTAGCACAGCGTAGCGCTAACCACTACACACAACTACACGACACACAACTACACGACACACAACTACACGACACACAACTACACGACACACAACTACACGACACACAACTACACGACACACAACTACACGACACACAACTACACGACACACAACTACACGACACACAACTACACGACACACAACTACACGACACACAACTACACGCACCCGGGGCGGCGCTCAGCAGAAGTAGACGGGGTTGCAGGCGTCGACCGCCAGGGGTCTCCAGCCGGTGGCCGCGGCCTTGCTGAGGGTGGCCGGGTTGACCCAGTGGAAGCGGTCGGCCCCTCGACCCGCACGTGCCCTCCTGCCGCCACCGCCGCTCCGGTAGTCGTCGTAGGGACGCGGCCTCTCCGCGCGACGCCGCAGGGGCAGGCAAAGGTGGGGGGCCGCCTTGCCCGGGAAGCCGCGCGGAGTGCGGGCGGCCAGGGTGGAAGGATGACGCGGGGGAGGAGGAGGATGGGGAGGCAGAGACAGCGCCGTGAAGCACGCGGCGGAGGAGGGGAACAGCAGCAGAGAGGGGTCCGTGCGGGAGCATCCCCACTCCGGTGCGGCGGCAGACGATGAGGCGGAGGACGACAGCGACGACGACGACACCGACGATGGCACCGACGTAGAGAAGGGGCGGCCTTGCTGCTGCGCCTGAACATGGTGGGTGGGAGGGGGTGGAGGTTAGAGGGGAGCGTGCGGGATCACATTAAGTGAGCGGATTGCCGCGTACGCGCAACTACAGACGCATTAAAAAGTGAAAACAATTGCAATTTGTAAAAAAAAAACGTTAGCAGTATGGGACTTTTTTTTGGCAGTGCTATCAAAACCAAAAAGAGAACAGACGTTTAACCCCGGCTGGCAATAAAACGCAAATTAGATAGACCTCTTGGAAAGGCATAAAAAGTCTGCATCAACCACACACACCTGGTGACAAAACGTTATCAGAGCTCCAGGTGTTTTTTGGGGTTAGACCGACACGTAAATCAGTGTCGTCAAACCCGCCACCACCCAGAGAGCCAATTAGCGAGGGGTTTTTGTCACAAGGACAAACGTGCCATTTTAGTTACGAGTTCATATCGATTTAAAGCTTTTGTGACTGCATGGATTTATATTCTTACTTCTTTCGGTAAAGTCACGTAGAAGGGAAATTATAAAATGAAAATAAAACATAAAATTCTCACGACGTTTCGGCCACAACGCAAGCAGCCGTCCTCAGGTGTAGAAACAGAGCTATCGGAAAGACAGCGTCCTAATAAACACTGCCAAGCTTGGCAGCGCATTTTAAGCTGGGTGGGAGAGGAGCAGAGCGCCTTGACAAAGGAGTTTACATAGAGGAATTTGGCATGTTGATGACAAATGCAGATATGGGGTTAGTCACTCCTTGTGGAATGTGTAGGCAGTGGGGGGGGGGGGGTTCTTCAAATTCATATTATGCTCGTGTATTATGTAGGATTAGCAGTACTAGCTCATGCCCGCGTGTTGCAGAGTAAGCCCACCACATTCACAATTAGAGTAAAACGTTACATTTATATTCACAAGATCAAACCCGAAAGGACTTCTATTTGTGGGATATTGTTCACGAAGGCCTCCCGAGTGTTCAATTATCAGAGCTCGTGTGTTTGCGTGCTTTGGCCACAAGCACGTGCGGTCAATGTCGACTTTGATGCCTTGCAATAGGTGGCCAGAGGTCATCCTGCTCGCCTGGTATGTGGGAGGTCGCGACCAATCCGTCGCCAGATGCCGATTGTAATTAGTGGTGAAACGTCAAGGTACTCGAATAGTAAATGTTGCGAGTTCACTCTGCAGCACCCAACCGATTAGCGCTGTACTAGTAATGCATTGGCACGTTTAGTTCACGTGACAAACCTTAATTTGGCTGTTCGGGTGGTGGCAGGTTTGACGACCCAACCCAAAAAGCTCTATGGATTATATTTGGAGTTTGCGCATTTCCCCATAATCGGGTGTATTTCTTCCCCTCCACGATTAGAAACGCTGTTTTTTTAAGCATTTGGCTGCTGTAAATTTCCACACGATAAAGCCACTTCGTTGAGCTTATCATCATGTGTGGCGGCCAGGTTACTTCTGAAATAAATAACTACGCAGCTCAGGTGGGCCCTTACCTGGTAAAATAAATAAATAGTTTTTATATTAGTATATATATATTTGGCGTTTGAACATCTTAAAAACAGATACAACACTAAACTATCCTACCCAGGCAAAGCCCACCGAGCTATTAATTTAGTTTCATTTGGACATTGAGAGCAAAAATTGGGATGGTGAGCAGTTGACAATTATCAGTCTTATCACCGTCTACAAATACGGATCTAGCCCTGGTAGTTCAGTTCAAAGGGTATGGATCCCTGCAGTCACGAACACTTCAAATCTAGATTATGAGCCCTGGTAGCGAAGCCTGAACACCCACAGGCACCCTGTGATAACCCGGCGAGACGCCCGCTGTATAATGTTTGGAGTTTGCGTCTCTCCGTGGGTCGCGTGGATTTTGTCTCCGAGTCCTCCGGTCCCCCCCCCCCCCTCCACATTATAGAAAACGTGCTTTTGGGATATTTTGATCCGTTTGCTGCTATAAATGTCCAAACGATGGGGCCCCACTTTGGTCGATCTATCATTTGCGGTAGCCAGGGTCGCTTTTGAAACATAACGTTAATAACTCCGTAGGATGGGGATGGTTTAAATATTCTTAGGTTTTTTCGGTAAAGTCACTTGATACAGCTGTCGTGGCTGTGACGGTACCACCTGAAGACGGAAGCTTGTGTTGCCTCCGAAACGTCGTGATTTTTATTTGTTTTACTTTTATCAATTTAAATTGTTTTACCTACGTGACTTACCGAAAAAACCTAAGAATATGAATCCTTGCAGTCACGAAAGCTTCAAATCTAAATGGTTTAAATGTAATGTCCATCCATGTGAGGGGTTTACCCCTCGTCCTGTACTTGGCACCACTATTATTTGTTGTTGTAACGTTCTCACCCCGTGCCCCCTACTGGATTATCTGTTAAGAGCTTCACAGCTCAGATTCCTCCTGCAGTCTCAAATAATCCGATTCCGAACCCCGCCAGGCACCCCCCCCCCGCACCTGGTAGACGCTGTTGGGGTTGCAAACCGTCTCGATCGGCTGCGCCGCCTGAAAGTTCCCCGCGATGTCGTCCGAGTGGAGAGACGCGACGGAGGAAGAGATAGAAGAGGAGCACGAGGAAGAGGAGGTGGTGAGGGCGACGCTGGAGAAGGCCAGAGAGGGCGGGGGAGAGGAGCCGGAGCCGGAGTCGCCAGCGGCCCTCTCCACGGCGGCGCTGATGCTGAGAGACGCCGGCTCGCTGCCCCGGGCGAGACTCGTGACGGTGAACGCCAGGCTCTTCTCGCCGTACCTGCATGGAAGCAATCACCACAAACAAAGATGGACGGGTTGGGGACCAGGGGGGGGGGGTGTTGGGGGTGGGGGAGAGAAAGAGACACCAACCGGGGCAGAGCGATGGAGACGGGACAGGAGAAAGAGAGAGAGGGGCGTGGAGGGAATACCACGGACAGAAGGCGGGGCAGTGTTGTCGAGCCTACGGGCATGCATTCAATGGTTCTTTCGGTAAAGGTCACGTAGATAGAAAAATAATAATAAAGTGAATAAAAATAAAATTTACTTTAATTTTTGGCATTATTTTTCTATCCAAACGACTTTACCGAAAGAACCAAAGAATACAAATTCCTTGCAAGTCACGAAAGTCAAAACCTACGGGGCTGGTGTTGTCAGGGCCGTACGGTCGCGGGAGTCTAACCTGCAGCTGACCTCCCCGGGGTCGACCCAGACGGTGAGCTCACGCGGGAGGCCCAGCTCCGCGTAGGCGATGCCGCTCGCCTCGCACGCCGCCGCCAGCACCGGGTCCACCGCCTTGATGCTGTTCATGCGCAGGCACCTGCAGCGGCAAGCCGCACCGCCACCAGGAACAGTAAAAAGTGGAACTCTTCTACTGGAAAACATTGGAATTTACGAACTTTCAGGAGATACGAACAAACCCGTCCTGTATGTTGAACCGCCGTGCAAGAGATGGCAGTGGCATCTACATCTACAGAACGTGAAGAACCAGCGGCATCTACATCAGCTCCGCGATTATCCAACTTTTAAAAGCTACTTCGTGTTTAGTGAGCACGCCATACAACACGTTTGGAATTTACAGGAGTAAAGTTTGACTTGTAAACGAATCGACTTTCCAACAAACTTCTGGAACCCGACTCATTCGTAAGTAAAAGAGTCTCTGTAACCGGCAAAGACAAAGACCCCTTTTCTCCAGTATAGCCTATAATACTTTTTGGGGCAAGTGCCATCAGCGCGTAGCAGCACCTATGACTGAGGCTGGCTCGGAACAGCACCAGCCCGCCCGACCGCCTTTGTCTCCAGTAGCGATGTTCACGACACTGCACCAGGGAATTGAGGCCGAGTCGACCTGGGTGAGGCCCAGAACCGGTTTTAATAGTCGTCACCTGGAAGTGGGTGGGCGAGCGGGAATTTAACGGGGGTCGCCGGGTTCGTAGCACAGCGTAGAGCTAACCACACACACACCCCCATCCCTCCACACACACACCCCCCACCCCACACCCCACCTGTAGGCCTGTCCGCGGCTGGGCTGCTCGGGGTACCAGTGGTTCTTGTAGCGGTCGAGGAGGCGCGCCGTGAGCTTGGCGGTGAGGCGCGCCACGCGGCGCTCGTCCAGGCGCTCGCCCCTGCGCGCGAGGCGCGTCACGAAGAACACCGCGGCCGCGATCTCCTCCCTCATGGCGACGGTGGCGATGAGGCACGAGGCAGCGACTGTGACGAGGCACGTGGCAGGCTGTGACGCTGATCCAGTCACTGGAGCGACAGCGAGGGTTGGAGGAGGAGGGGAGTGGGGTGATTACTGCACGGACAGAGACCCCCACAGGGGAGAATGAGACTCCCACGGGGGGGGGGGGGGGGGGGGGGCAGGGACCCCCATAGACGTCCACGACGGCCTTGAGCTCCCCGACTGCCGCTGCCACGGTGACGGCGATTCAAGAGCCCCTGCACAGCCGGGAGACAAACGGTGAGCTAACCACAGCGCCACCGCTCCTCAGCGAGCCAACCACAGCACCACCACTCCTCACCGAGCCAACCAGCACCACCACTCCTCACAGCGAGCCAATCACAGCGCCACCACTCCTCAGTGAGCTAAATCACAGCGCCACCACTCCTCACACGACTCACCCGGTTCGCGGCTTCCTCACCAACAACGACGTTTTCGGACTCAGAAGTAAATAAAAGGTAAAATAAAAAGTTAATAATTAGTCGTAGTAATTAGTAATATGTATTAATCACCACGATCTTTTCCTCTCTGGACGCCACCAAAACTATTTCACGTTTAAAACTTTGTCTCTCTCCCTCTCCGAGTATCTTTTTGCGAGTTAAAACAGACAAACTTTAGTTAAATATATTTCACGTACACGGACAGATATTTACATTGATGACATAGATGTGTAAACTCTACACAGATAATCACGGAGATGTAGAAACTCTAGAGGGATAAGTCACGGAGATGGAACAAAGCGATGTCCCCCACGGGCGCGCATGGGAGGGAGCGATGAAACGTCGCGACACGAGGAAGCCGTCGCGCCTCCGAGCCCCCGGGGCATTTATAGGCGAGCGGGGGAGCCCCCGGGGCGTTTTGCTTGGGGGCTCCTTCAGAGACGCTCGTGGTGGTGATTATTGGTGATTGGTGATGATTATTGGTGATTGCTTGTTGGTGATGATGATTGGTGATGATGATTGGTTATTGGTGATGATTTTTTGTGATTGGTTATTGGTGATGGTTATTGTTGGTGATGATGATTGGTGATGGCTATTGGTGATTGGTTATTGGTGATTGGTGGTGATTATTGGTAATCACGGGGGAGGGAGGGTCGTGAGCTACCCTCCTCCTCCCGCCACCATCTGTGCTGAGTCGTCCGTGGATGCTGAGTTGCAGGGCGAGTCCGGGTTAGAGCGGTCAGGGTAGCTGGCGAGCGTGGTCGTGGTGTGGGGGGGGGAGAGGTGGGGGGAGAGGTGGGGGGGAGAGGTGGGGGGGAGAGGTGGGGGGGAGAGGTGGGGGGGGAGAGGTGGGGGGGGGGAGAGGTGGGGGGGAGAGGTGGGGGGGGGGAGAGGTGGGGGGGAAAGAGAGAGGCTCATAGAGATGAACGAACTCATACAGATATACAGAGATACACAGAGACTCATAGAGATACACAAAGACTCACAGATACACAGATAGACACACAGACTCACAGAGACTCATAGAGATACACAGATTGACAGATACACAGAGATACACAGAGACTCATACAGATACACAAAGACTCACAGATACACAGATAGACACACAGACTCACAGAGACTCATAGAGATACACAGATTGACAGATACACAGAGATACACAGAGACTCATACAGATACACAGAGACTCATAGAGATACACAGATTGACAGATACACAGAGATACACAGAGACTCATACAGATACACAGAGACTCATACAGATACACAGAGACACACAGAGATACCCAGAGACTCATACAGATACACAGAGACACACAGATACACAGAGACACACAGCGACACAGAGATACCCAGAGACTGATACAGATACACAGAGATACACAGAGATACCCAGAGACTCATAGAGATACACAGAGACACACAGAGACACACAGATACTCACAGAGACACACAGAGATACACAGAAACACACAGACACACAGAGACACACAGATACACAGAGACACACAGAGATACACAGAGACACATATACACAGAGACTCATACAGATACTTAGAGACACACAGAGATACCCAGAGACTCATAGATGCAGACCATTCTTGTTCAGTTTCCACCCCATCCTTCAAGACCCCCCGCCACTCACTGTCCTCCCTGGGCCTCCTTCCCTCCACCCCTTGGTACCCACCGCGAATTCCCCTTCCCACTCAGCCTCCCACCCCGTCCCTATCGAGGCCACCCTCATTGCACCACTTAGAGCCCCTTTGTAAAGCGCCTCGCGTATAGGGCGCCATATACATTCAAGATAAGATTAGAAGCCTCCTGTATCGCCGGAGTCTGCATGGATCTCCGGGGCTCTCTGTCTTACGATGTTATTTTAAGCTCCCTCCAACAACAACAACCGGTGACGTCACCATGGCGCTTGTGCCAGGCCATGTGCACCTTGAGGCCACGTGAAAGGTCGAACGCCCGCTGGCAGGAGGTCACGGGACAGACCGAACAGGTGCCATGGGTTGTACTGACTGAGATGAGTGGCCGATGCACCACCTATGCCCCCTACTGTGCCAACTTGCTGTGTTTTATCTGCCCGGTGCTCCGCTCGTTGTTGTGAGCGTCGCTCCTCCACCCTCCGTTGTTGCTGGAGGGCGACTGCCTCCAACTGCCCAGTAGCTTCCTTCATGAGCCTCCTCCACAGAGGCCGATCTTGACACCGCTGGTACCAGTCATCGGCAAGTCCACTCAGCTCCACGTCCTCCTGTACCACATCACTCCATCTCTTCTGCAGCCCATATCACTCGCTCACCCACTCACTCACCCACTCACCCACCCACCCACCCACCCATTCACCTGCTCACTCACTCAGTCACCCACTCACTCATCCACTCACTAACCAACTCACCTACTCACTCACCCATTCACCCACTCATTCACTCATCCACTCACTCACCCAATCACTCAATCGCTCACTCATTCATCCACTCACCCACTCACCCACTCACTCACCCACTCACCCATTCACTCACTCACCCATTCACCTGCTCACTCACTCAGTCACCCACTCACTCATCCACTCACTAACCAACTCACCTACTCACTCACCCATTCACCCACTCATTCACTCCCCCAATCACTCAATCGCTCACTCATTCATCCACTCACCCACTCACCCACTCACCCATCATTCCAGATCGTCTCAAGCGCCCGTTTAGCCCCCTCTCTCTGGCCGAACAAAGCTGCTTGTGCACTTGGTGGCCTGGTCATGCAGTGGCCGGGCGTGACCCGGCCAACGCGGCTTCCTCGCCTGCCGGGAGGAGCTCACCGCAACTGCGACCGCCACCCACCCCCCTGCAATGAGGCCCACACGCGCTGCCCTTCAATGGGAGACTTTATTTGGACACAGCACTCTCTGGGCCCAGCCTTCGATCTTCGGTGCTCGAACTCCGTCTGCTCTCCAGCCGTCCCCTTGCACGATCCTCAAGCCCCCCCCCACACCTCTCCGTGAAGCTTTGCTCGCCCCAAACCCTGCGGCCAATCCTCCTTCCTTCCTTCCTCCACCGACGGCTGTCGACCCTCGCTTCCCACATTTGACGTTTCGGGGATCTCGACCCTTCGCCCCCCCCACCACCAATCTCTTTGATCCTCGCCTCCCTACCAATCGCCCTGGAGGCCTCTCTGCGCCAAGCAGAGGTCTCTCTGCACTAATCAGAGGCCTCTCTGCACCAATCAGAGGTCTCTCTGCACCAATCGGAGGTCTCTTTGGACCAATCAGAGGTCTCTCTGCACCAATCAGAGGCCTCTCTGCACCAACCAGAGGCCTTTCTGCACCAATCAGAGGCCTCTCTGCACCAATCAGAGGCCTCTCTGCACCAATCAGAGGCCTCTCTGCACCAATTGGAGGTCTTTCTGCACCAATCAGAGGCCTCTCTGGACCAATCAGAGGCCTTTCTGCACCAATCGGAGGCCTTTCTGCACCAATCGGAGGCATCTGCACCAATCAGATGCCTTTCTGCACCAATCAGAGGCCTTGGCCGCCTACTTCCCGACTGTTGGCCTGCCCCGTACGCTTGTCTTAGGTAAGTGGTCTGTCGCCTTGGTCATTACATCACCCCCCCCGCTCCTGCAACCTTTAAACAAAAAAAGGAGCCGTCCCGGCTAACACCAGGAAGGGAATCGACCAACCCCCAACGAAGCATGAGAACGCCAACTTACGGCAGTAAAACGATCGATGCGGAGAGGACCGATGGTGCGGCGTGAGTAGATTCTGCACCCTCCCACGATTGCTAACAGAAACGATACAACAACAACTAACAATAAACGATTTAACACGTAGCAGGCTTTTGCGACCAATATCGTTCATAATAGAGTTTTTTTTTTGGGCTAGATCGCGTAAATATATAAATGTGTCGTTAAAACCCGCCACGAATCTGACTGTCGCCTGATGATGCTGGTTGTAATTACTGGCGAAACGTCGTACTCAGATTGTCAATGTTGTGGCTTGGCTCTCCAACACACCGGTGTGATGTACGAGTATACTACACTATACACTACACTAATATACACTACACTATACACTACCAAACTATACACTACTATACTTTACACTGCTACACTATACACTAGTATACTATACACTACTACACTATACACCACACTACAAACGACACTATACACTAGTGCTGCACTAGTGACGAATCGGCATGTTTTGTTCACGTGACAACCCTTACTAGTTGGCTGTGTCGGGTGGTGACGGGTTTTAACAACACATTTATATATTTACGTGATCTAACCCCAAACAATCTTCTATTAAGAACAACAAACAACAACCACCACCACCACCAGACCGTGGGAAACAGCGGCGTGCGAAAAGTCTCCTTTGCTCCGACAGGGACAGCGTCAGCTCCGCTGGGTGCATCTTGAACTGGGGGGGGGGGGCGGGGGGGGTTCCTTGTCGCCGGTCCAGCCGTGGACGGTCCGCTATCTTTGCCGGGTTCCGTGAGTGGTGCAGGGGCATGTGCCTCAGGGGGAACGCGCTCTGAGCGGCTGCTGCGGCACCGTCGAATGCCCCCGGGGGCCCTCTGGTGGAACGGGGCGTGGGCACGGGGTCACTTGGCGTCGACTTGCGAACGAATCCAGGAGGGGCGACGTCGGCCGGACCCCTGCTGTGGTCGGTGCGGTTTTGGCAGCCTGCGCGCGATGGGGTCAACGTGAGGTCACCGTGACCGCGCCTTGCCGTGGTTACGTTCGGCCCTGCGGCGAAGGTGCGTGTGTGAGAACAGCCCCCACGACGAAGACAGCGACCTGCGTCTCGCCTCGTCAGCGGCCCGCACCTCTGTCGTGTTTGTGGCCATCGCCTCCGCTGCTCGCTCCGAAACGCAGTGGGTCGATTGTGACCTGCAAGGGCGCAGGTCGTTGGGGCGTGACCTGCGGTGGGGCGGGGGCGGGGGTGTGCGGGGTCAGCCAGGACGCCGCCAAGATCCCCCGGATTGTGGAGATCACAGACGGCCTGTGCCTCATCTACGGCGCGGCAGAGCGTGGATGTTATCCTTCATGCTCAGCCGTCCATCTTGAGTGAGGAGGGGCGATGTGCGCGAGTGGAGGCAGTGAATAGGAATGGTTGAGCCATCGCGAGAGAATTGCAATGGTTGAGTTAACCCAACCAACTCAACCCAACCCAACTCCACCCCAACCCACCTCAATCCACCCCAACTCAACCCACCTCAATTTACCCCAACTAAACCCAACTCCACCCCAAATCATCCCAACTCCACCCCAATTCCACTCACCCCAACCCACCCCAACCAAAATCAACTCCACCCCACCCAACTCCACCCCACCCCAACTGAACCGGGCTGTCACCCGCGGCGTCCTCCGAACGGCGCTGCCACGATGGCCACGGATCCCTCGTAGACACCCAGTGCGGGGAACAGCGGCGCCGTGAACACGCCGTGGAACGAGTGGAGGTGGCGGGAGCCCTGCACGCAGTAGAACGACAGCACCCCCTCCTCCCACTCCAGGTAGACGCCGATGCATTGCCCAACCGTGCCACCACCACCACTACCGCGACCACCACCGCCAACACCACTACCGCTACCACCACCACCCGCACTACCACCACTCGTACCACCACCACCCACACAACCACCACCTGTACCACCACCATCTGTACCATCAGTGCCACCGCCACCCCTACCACTACCTTCACCGCCACCACCACCATCACCGCCACCATCTCCACCACCATCACTACCACCACCACCCACACCAACTGCACCACCCGCACCACCACCACCACTTCCACCGCCATCACCACTCACACCACCACTACCTCCATCACCACTACCAACATCACCACCACTACCCCTATCACCACCACTCCCACCACCACTACCTCCACCACCACCACCACCACCACCGACCACCACCTCCTCCCCCAGGAAGGTCTGCGCCCCGTTGTGCCGCGCCGAGTAGCGGCCATCCCACTTCTCGAGGCACCAGGAGGCGCCGCTGAGGCCCAGGCGGCCCGCGCGGGCCTTGCCCTGGCGGGGGATCGAAGCCTCGGCCACCCCGACGAGGCAGCGTGCCGACGAGCCCACGTCCACCTCCCAGTAGTGGTGGCCGCGCAGGAGGCCCTCGCGGCACAGGGCCTGGTCCCAGTGCTCAAAGCGCTCCGGGTGGTGGTGACGGTGGAGGAAGTGAAGAGGAGGGCCGGAGAGCCGCGTCACCGTGCGGAGGTCGGCCGACACGGCGAGGGACGAGTGGGCGGAGTTCACGTTCACGGTAGGGGAGCATCCGTCTGCACCGTGGAGGGGACGGCAGCGGCGGCAGGAGCAGCGGCAGTAGCAGCAGTGGTAATTTTAAACCGTAGCAGGCTTTCGCGACCAATGTCATCCATGATACACGTCTTTTGTGTTAGATCGCGTAAGATTAGATTACGCAATCTCACCCAAAAAAACTGTATCATGAAGTAATATCAGTAGTAGCAGCAGTAGTAGCAGTAGAAGTAGTGTTCGCAGTAGTAGCAGTAGTAGTAGAAATAGTAACAGTAGTAGTAGCAGTAGTAACAGCAGTAGTAGCAGCAATAGTCGCAGTAGTAGTATTAGCAGTAGTAGCAGCAGAATCAGTATTAGAAGTATCAGTAATAGTAGTGTTAGCAGTAGTAGTAGCAATAGTAACAGTAGTAGCAGTAGCAGCAATAGTAGTAGCAGCAATAGTAGTAGCAGTAGTAGCAGCATCAGTGGTAGTAGTTGCAGCAGTAGTCGTAACAGGAGGGGTAGTAGTAGCAATAGTATCATCAGTAGTAGTAGCAGCATCATCAGTAGTGCAGTGGATAGTAGTGAATAGTGTATAGTCGTGTAGTGCACAGTGTAGTGGATAGTGTATGGTATTGTGGTGTATAGCGTTGTGTATAGTAGTGTATAGTGTAATGGAAAGTATAGTGTGTGATAGTGTAGTGACCCAGAGAAGAAGGGCAGCATGATAATCTGTATAGTACTGTAATGTATAGTGTAGTGTATAGTAGTGTATAGTGTAGTGTATAGCGTAGTGTATAGTAGTGTATAGTAGTGTATAGTGTAGTGTGTGGTAGTGTAGTGACCCACAGAAGAAGGGCAGCATGATCATCTTGACGCCGCCCAGCGAGATCAAGTTGGCGAGCTCCATGCCCTCCTCGGTGACGAGCCGCAGTGGCAGGGCCTCGACCCTGCAAGTGGTGGTGGTGGTGGGTGGTGGTTGGTGGTGAGGAGGTGGTGGTGGAGGTGGTGATGGTAGTTGAGGAAGAGGTGGTGGTGTTGGTGGTGAGGAGGTGGAGGTGGTGATGCATGTGGTGGTGGTGGTGGAGGTGGTAGAGGTGGAGGTAGAGGAAGAGGAGGAAGAGGAGGAATTGATGATACAAAGGCGGCCTTGATGCTGTAGCAACAGCAGTCGATTCCAACTTTTGAACTAAATTTGTCTCTCACCAGGGTGTAGCGAGGCCCCACTGAGCTTGCTGTGCAGTGGCTCTTAGTCAGAAGCTATCCCCTGGCCATCACAACATGATAGCAGCTCAACCAAGTGGGCTGATATCATCACCATCACCACCATCAGCATCATCATCGTCGTCGTGTGGACATTTATAGCAGCAGATAAATAAGAATAAAGTTACATAGAGACACACAGATATGCATAGAAACCCATATAGACACACTGAGACCCATAGAGACCCATAGAGATGCATAGAGACACATAGAGACACATAGAGACACATTGAGACCCATAGAGACCCATAGAGACACACAAGATACATAGAAACCCATATAGACACATTGAGACCCATAGAGACCCATGAAGATGCATAGAGACACATAGAGACACATATAGACGCATGGAGATACACAGATGACCCAGAGAGACTCATAGATATTCTAGAGATACATATATACCCATAGAGACATATAGAGACCCATAGACACTCAGAGACACTCAGAGACCCATGGAGATACGTAGAGACCCATAGAGAACCTTAGATACCCATAGAGATACATAGAAACCCATATAAACACATTGAGACCCGTAGAGACCCACAGAGATGCACAGAAATACATAGAGACCCTAGAGATACATAAAGACCCATAGACACTCATAGAGACCCTAGAGACACATACAGACTCATAGAGACTCATTTGGCTATATAAAGACACATAGAGATACATGGAGACCCATAGAGACCCACATACACCCACACTAAAACGAAGCAATGTTTATGTAACCTGGTTTAATGCCCTTCTGAGCTGTGGAGCTCTTTTGTTGAGAAGCGACCCTGGCCATCACAACACGATAGCGGGTGAACCAAGTGGGCTGATATCATCCCCACCACCACCATCATCATCATCGTCGTGTGGAGATTTATAGCCAAACACTCTGAAGGCGCCTGATGTTGATTCTAAATGTGGATGGGAAAAAACACCGGAGGACCCGGAGACAATTCCATGCTACTAAATCTACAGCAGCAGCAGCAGGCATCGTCAGAGTCGGGATCGAAACCACGGTCTCCTGTATACCAGGCGAGGTAGTTAACATCTCCTAGCCACCGTGATGATGATGAGAGAGAAAGAGACGCAGACTCCAATTATACAGCAGCAGGCATCGTCAGCGTTGGGATCGAACCCACGACCTCCTGTGTACCAGGCGAGGGAGTTAATATCTCCTAGCCACCGAGTGCTGGGTGTTAGCGTGCATCAAGCAAGGCACCTCGTGTCCTTGTTCCGTCGATTCTGAAACACACATAGCACACACACAGCACACATACTTACACACGTACACACAACGCACACACACCACAACAAACACACACACTCTACACATCCACACATATACACATACACACATACAAAACAACCGCCATTCGCCACTAAGTGGCGGTGATGTCACTACGACGCTTGTGCCAGGCCATGTGCACCTTGAGGCCACGTGAAGTGTCGAACGCCCGCTGGCAGGAGGTCACAGGGCAGACCCAGGTGCCACGGGTCGACTGACCGAGATGACTGAGATGACTGGCTGATGCACCACCTGTGCCCCCTACTGTGCCAACTTGCTGTGCTTTAGCCACCCGGCGCTCCGCTCGTTGTTGTGAGTGTCACTCCTCCGCCCTCCATTGTTGTTGGAGGGCGACTACCTCCAACTACCCAGTAGCGTCCTTCACTGAGGCCGATCTTGACACCGTTGGTACCAGTCATCGGCAAGTCCACTCAGCTTCACGTCCTCTTGTACCACATCACTCCATCTTTTCTCTAGCCCGTGCCGTGCCCGTTTAGCCCCCTCTATCCGGCCAAATAAAAGCTGTTTAGGCATGCGGTGGCTGGGCATGTGGGCTACATGACCCAGCCACCGCAGCCTTGCCTGCCGGAGGAGCTCACCGATGAGACTTTGTCCAGATCTTTCAAGGATTTGTGAGCTCCTCACAAAATCCAGCCTGGTTAAACCCAGGATAGATCATACGCAGGCCAGCCTAAATGTTTCTAACCAGCGAAGATGCTCCATTAGGGGGGTCCACGTTTTGCAAGCGTAGAGAAGGGAGGGAATGACCGTGGCTGAGAAGACCTGTAGCTTCGTGCAGAGCGACAGACAAGGTAGTTTCCACACAGCTTTACGCAACCGATGAAAAGATAATGCCGCTCGACGTTGTTATCCGGGCAGAGGGATGTCCCCTCAACCAGGACCTCACAGAAATGCTCAGCAAATCTTCAAACCTGTTCCTTGGGGTCGGAGATTGGATCACCGTTCTTTCCCCTAATGATGCTAATAGGTGTAGCGCTGCAGGTTACTTTTTTGATGAATTAAAGAGCGATTTGTGATCGCGGGCCATTGAGGCAGACTCCATCTCCTCAGCAACCCGCAACCACCACCCATCCTTGCAGCGCCTCACGGCTCTCCGAACCTCCGAGCTAATGCTGCGGTAAGCCTCTACATTCTCTGACGTGGGATGCTGTAGCCGATGGGAGTGGGCCTGTCGCTTTTTCTCAGCCATCTTGAACACCTCCTCAGTCAGCCAGGGTCTCTGCGGAGATCTGGACCGTGTACCCAAAGCAGCCATTTCAGCTGCATGAGCCACAGTCTTAAACCTCGCCCATTTCCCCTCGACATCAGGAGGAGTGGGGGACGATGCCAACCCCAGCCGCAAGCGATTATTAAATTCTAACTTGCAAGTTTCATCAGCTTCCGGAGACCATGCCACTAAGGGTTTGAATGGGGTCCTGGGTGTACACCCACCACTGGAGTGAAATAATGGCAGGCGCATTATACAGATGACAAGTCTATGGTCAGTGGGCAGATCAGCTCCACGGTAGGTCCGGCTATCAAGGAGTAGTCCAGCAGATGTTTTTGCTTGGACCCGGCATGCATCCATGATGTTGTGTGGATGCGCCGATGCCGGAACAGTGTGTTGTTAATTACAAGCCAATGGGCTGCACAAACATCTAGAAGCCTCTTTCCGTTGTTATTAAGCTGATCTGGCCCATGCCTTCCAATCACTCCAGACCAGGTGCCAGCATCATGACCAACTCGGGCATTGAAGTCACCCAACAAGATGACTTTATCCCGAGGGGCCACTTTAACTAGCATCTCTGATAGGAAGTCATTGAAGGAATCTGACTCATTGGCCTTGCCTGCATCTCTCCACGGATGTTCGTCTTCAGTGAAAGCATAAGTAACCACGACCACCACTCCCCTCTTCTGTTTGAAGGAATAGTGAGCCCAAAGAAGACTGGGGCTTAGAGCTTCCCACACCTCACCACCACGCTCCCAAGCCCCCTTCATTATTTTGTTCAGAAGTAAAGCTACACCCTGTTGTTTGGCAGTCTTCTGCCCCGAGCAGAGCCAGAGCCGGTCCACTGGACCTCCTGAATGCCACAAAGATCCAGGCGGTACCGGTCCAGCTCCCGACAGAGGAGTGGCAGCCTCTCCTCCGCAGTGAGCATTCGAACATTCCACGTGGCCACACATAGTGGTTTTTCGTTGTTTCTGGAGGATCCCCGAGGGTAAGGATTTAGTCTCCTGGTTCTGCCAAATGGGGTTTGGCCAGGACACGTCATAGACGCCTGTCCCCCCAGGGCCTCCGGCACAAGCTTATTAATGAGATATTTTAGACGTGGTTTAGTGGTAATTTATTGAAGGTGAAGGGGTTACCAGCCCCTCGCAGCCATCCAGAGCCACCTTTTGGCCGCTGTGGTGGTCAAAAACGCCAATTGGTCCTCCCCCCACAGCACTGCCCATGACAGCGTTGTCCATCCAGCACCACGAGGAGGTAGGGGGTTGTTTTGCCGTATTCACACACACACACAGCGACACACAAACCTTCTCCTCCTCCTGCTGCTGTTGGTGGAGGCGCGCCACGTGGTTCTCGATCCAGGCGAGCACCGCCCCCCCCTTATCGTCCACCTCGGCCAGCGCCGCCCACTCCTCCTGGTCCAGCTGCAGGCGGCGGCTCGCGTAGCGAGCGCACAGCTCCACCTTGGTGCGCAGCAGAGACGCCTGGGTGGGTGGGGGGGTGAGTGGGGTGAGTGGGGTGAGTGGGGTGGATGGGGGGGGTGAGTGGGTGGGGGGGTGCGGTGGGGGGGCGGGTGGAGGGGGTTGGAGGGTGAGTGGATGGATGAGTGAGTGGGTGAGTGAGTGGGTGGGTGAGTGGGTGGATGGGTGAGTCAGTGGGTGAGTGGGTGAGTCGGTGAGTGAGTGGGTGAGTGGGTGGGTGAGTGGGTGGATGAGTGGGTTCGTGGATGGGTGAGTGGGTGGGTGATGCGTTGGTGAGTGAGTGGGTGGATGGGTGGGTGAGTGAATGGGTGGGTGGGTGAGTGGGTGGGTGAGTGGGTGAGTGATGAGGTGGTGAGTGATGAGGTAGTGAGTGGGTGGGTGGGTGATGAGTTGGTGAGTGAGTGGGTGGGTGATGAGTTTGTGAGTGAGTGAGTGGGTGGATGGGTGGGTGAGTGGGTGAGTGATGAAGTGGTGAGTGATGAGGTGGGTGGGCTAGTCGGTGGGTGATGAGTTGGTGAGTGTGTGGGTGGGTGGGTGAGCTAGTGGGTGGGTGATGAGTTGGTGAGTGGGTGGATGGGTGGGTGGGTCAGTGGGTGAGTGATGAGGTGGTGAGTGATGAGGTGGTGAGTGATGAGTTGGTGAGTGAGTGGGTGGGTGATGAGTTGGTGAGTATCCTCCAGTACCCGCACTGCTGCGTGCGACTCCACCAGTCGCCTCACGGTGGCGGGAGACGTCATTCCTCGTGCCTGAACACAGAGACACAGAGACGTGGGGCCTGAACACAGAGACACAGAGACGTGGGGCCTGAACACAGAGACACAGAGACGTGGGGCCTGAACACAGAGACACAGAGTCGTGGTGCCTGAACACAGAGACACAGAGACGTGGGGCCTGAACACAGAGACACAGAGACGCGAGGCTTGAACACAGAGACACAGAGACGTGGGGCCTGAACACAGAGACACAGAGACGTGGGGCCTGAACACAGAGACACGGAGACGCGAGGTCTGAACAGAGACACAGACACACAGAGACGTGGGGCCTGAACACAGAGACACAGAGACGTGGGGCCTGAACACTGAGACACAGAGACGTGGGGCCTGAACACAGAGACACAGAGACGTGGGGCCTGAACACAGAGACACAGAGACGTGGGGCCTGAACACAGAGACACAGAGACGTGGGGCCTGAACACTGAGACACAGAGACGTGGGACCTGAACACAGACACAGCGACGTGGGGCCTGAACACAGAGACACAGAGACATGAGGCCTGAACACAGACACAGAGACGTGGGGCCTGGACACATAGACGTGGGGCCTGAACACTGAGACACAGAGACGTGGGGCCTGAACACAGAGACACAGAGACGTGGGGCCTGAACACAGAGACACAGAGACGTGGGGCCTGAACACAGAGACACAGAGTCGTGGTGCCTGAACACTGAGACACAGAGACGTGGGGCCTGAACACAGAGACACAGAGACGTGGGGCCTGAACACTGAGACACAGAGACGTGGGGACTGAACACAGAGACACAGAGACGTGGGGCCTGAACACAGAGACACAGAGACGTGGGGCTTGAACACTGAGACACAGAGACACAGAGACGTGGGGCCTGAACACAGAGACACAGAGACGTGGGGCCTGAACACTGAGACACAGAGATGTGGGGCCTGAACACACAGACACGGAGACGTGGGGCCTGAACACAGAGACACAGAGACGTGGGGCCTGAACACTGAGACACAGATACGTGAGGCCTGAACACAGAGACACTCACCCCACTCACCCCACTCACCCCACTCACTCACCCCACTCACTCCACTCACCCCACTCACTCCACTCACCCCACTCACCCCACTCACTCACTCCACTCCACTCACTTCACTCACCCCACTCACCCCACTCACCCCACTCACTCACTCCACTCACTCTACTCACCCCAATCACTCACCCCACTCACCCCAATCACTCACCCCACTCCACTCTACTCACCCCACTCACCCCACTCACTCCACTCACTCCACTCACCCACTCACCCCACTCACTCACCCCACTCACTCACCCCACTCACTCCACTCCCCCCACTCCACTCCACTCACCCCACTCACCCCTCACTCCACTCCCACTCACCTCCACTCACTCCACTCCACCTTCTACTCACTCCACTCACTCCACTCACCCTACTCACCCCACTCACCCCACTCACCCTACTCCACTCACCCCACTCACCCCACTCACCCCAGTCACCGCACTTACTCACCCCACTCACTCCACTCACCCCACTCACCCCAGTCACCGCACTTACTCACCCCACTCACTCCACTCACCCCACTCACTCCACTCACCCCCACTCACCCCACTCACCCCACTCCACTGACTCCACTCACCCCACTCACCCCACTCACTCACCCCACTCACTCTACTCACTCCACTCCACTCACTCCACTCACCCCACTCACCCCACTCACTCACCCGACTCACTAACCCCACTCACTCCACTCACCCCCACTCACTCCACTCACTCCACTCACTCACCCCACTCACTCACCCCACTCACTCCACTCAGTCCACTCACCCCACTCACCCCACTCACCCCACTCACTCACCCCACTCACCCCACTCACCCCACTCACTCACCCCACTTACTCCACTCAATCCACTCACCCCACTCACTCACCCCACTCACTCACCCCACTCACTCCACTCACCCCACTCACCCCACTCCACTCACTCCACTCACCCCACTCACCCCACTCACCGCACTTACTCACCCCACTCCACTCACCCCACTCACCCCACTCACCCCACTCACCCTACTCCACTCACCCCACTCACCCCACTCACTCACCCCACTCACTCCACTCAATCCACTCACCCCACTCACCCCACTCACCCCACTCACTCACCCACTCACCCCACTCACGCACCCCACTCACTCCACTCACCCCACTCACCCCACTCACCCCACTCCACTCACTCCACTCACCCCACTCACCGCACTTACTCACCCCACTCCACTCACCCCACTCACTCCACTCACCCCACTCACCCCACTCACCCTACTCCACTCACCCAACTCACCCCACTCCACTCACTCCACTCACCCCACTCACCCCACTCACTCACCCCACTCACTAACCCCACTCACTCCACTCACCCCACTCACTCCACTCAGTCCACTCAGTCCACTCACCCCACTCACCCCACTCACCCCACTCACCCCACTCACTCACCCCACTCACTCCACTCACCCCACTCACCCCACTCACCCCACTCACCCCACTCCACTCACTCCACTCACCCCACTCACCCCACTCACCGCACTTACTCACCCCACTCACTCCACTCACCCCACTCACCCCACTCACTCCACTCACCCCACTCACCCCAATCACCCTACTCCATTCACCCCACTCACCCCACTCCACTCACTCCACTCACCCCACTCACCCCACTCACTCACCCCACTCACTAACCCCACTCACTCCACTCACCCCACTCACTCCACTCCACTCACTCACCCCATTCACTCACCCCACTCACTCACCCCACTCACTCCACTCAGTCCACTCACCCCACTCACCCCACTCACCCCACTCACCCCACTCACTCACCCCATTCACCCCACTCAACCAACTCACCCCACTCCCTCACCCCACTCACCCCACCCGTGTCGCCTCACCTGGGCTGCGTTGGCAGCGAGCAGCAGCGTCTGTCGAAGCCTGTCCCACGGCCGTCTTTGTCTTCCCCGAGGGGCGTTGGGGACTACAAACTGCAGAGCCCCAGACAGCCACTCGTTTGAGGCTGATTCAGCCTGCGAACACGACAACTACGCAGCCTGCATACCCCCATCCACCCACCCACTCAGCCACCCACTCACCCACCCACTCAGCCACCCCCCACTAACCCACCCACTCACCCAACCCACCCACTCACCCACCCACTCACCCAGCCACTCACGCACTCACCCCCCACTCCACCCCCCCCCCACTCACCCACCCACTCACTCACCCACCCAACCACCCACTCACTCACCCACTCACCCACTCACCCACTCACCCACCCACTCCCCCACTTAACCACCCACTCACCCACTCACCCACCCACTCACCCAGCCACTCACGCACTCACCCCCACTCCCCCCCCCCACTCACCCACCCACTCACCCACCCAACCACCCGCTCACCCACCCACTCACCCACTCACCCACCCACCCACCCACTCACCCCCCCACCCACTCACCCACCCACCCACCCACTCACCCACCCACCCACTCACCCACTCACCCACCCAACCACCCAACCACCCACTCACTCACCCACCCACTCACCCAACCCACTCACCACTCCCCTACCACTCACTCACCCACCCACTCACTCACTCACTTACCCCCTCACTCACTCACCCACCCACCCACCCATACACTCACTCACCCACCCAACCACCGACCCACTAACCCACTCACCTACTCACTCACCCACCCACCCGCTCACCCACCCCTCCCCACTCACCCCCTCACTCACCACCCCACTAACCCACACACTCACCCACCCACCTACTCACTCACCCACTCACCCACACACTCACCCACCCACTCACCCCTCCCGTACCACTCACTCACCCACCCACTCATCCACCTTCTCACCCACCCTCTCAGCCACCCACTCACTCACCCACTCACACACTCACCCACTCACACACTCACCCACCCACTCACCCCACCCCCCACTCACCCCACCCCCCCACTCACCCCACCCCCCACTCACCCCCCCCACTCACCCGCCCCCACTCACCCCCCCCCCACTCACCCCCCCCCCCACTCACCCCACTCACTCACCCCCCCCCCACTCACTCACCTCCCCACTCACTCACCCACCCACTCATCCACCCACTCACCCCCCCCCACTCACCCCCCCCCTCTCACCCACTCGTTTGGGGCTGATTCAGCCTGCGAACACAAAGCATACCCAGCCTGCATACCCCCCCCACTCACCCACCCACTCACCCACCCCTCCCCTACCACTCACCCACCCACTCACCCACCAACTCACCACCCACTCGCACTCCCCCACTCGAATCTCCCCACTCACCCACCCACTCACCAACCCACTCACCCCCCGACTCACCACCCACCACCCTGAGTTGCGGAATGCCGCAACTCAGGGTTGGACGTCGCAGCAAACCGGAACGGTCACGGGCAAATAAAGAGACAAAGCTCCCCTAGGTAGCTGTGTGTGTAGCTGTGCGTGTGTTGCTGTGTGTGTGTATGTAGGTGTGTGTGTATGTAGGTGTGTGTGTATGTAGGTGTGTGTGTATGTAGGTGTGTGTGTTTGAAGCTGTGTCTGTAGCTGTGTGTGTGTAGTTGTAGGTGTGTGTGTAGGTGTGTGTAGGTGTGTGTGTCGTGTGTAGGTGTGTGTGTGTAGCTGTGTGTGTAGGTGTATGTGTAGCTGTTTGTGTGTAGCTGTGTCTGTAGCTGTGTGTGTATAGCTGTGTGTGTGTAGTTGTGTGTATAGCTGTGTGTGTAGCTGTGTGTGTAGCTAGGGAAATAATAAATAATATAAATATTAAACAATATATTGGGAAATAATAAAATAATATAAATATAAAACAATATTGTTGTATATTTTTTTATTTTATTCTTTCCCTTCTACGTGACTTTACCGAAAGAACCAAGAATATGAATTCCTGCAGTCACGAAAGCTTTAAATCAAAACCCCCTATCTCCTTGTGGTGCCGAACGGGCAACGCTGTCGTGGGCAGTGTCGTGGGGGGAGGGACAATTTCCGATTGGCCTTTCCTCTCATGGCGCTTGTAGCCACCACAGCGGCTCTGGACTGGTGCGAGGGGCTGGTAACCCCTCCACCTTCAATTAATTACCACTAAACCACGACCGCAAAATTTTATTGATAAAAAGCCTGTGCCGGAGGCCCCGGGGTGACAGGCGTCTATGACGTCTCCCAGCCAAATCCCATTTGGCGCAGCCAGGAGACTGAATCCTTACCCTCGGGGCTCCTCCAGAAACAACAAAAAACCACTACAGATGGCCACGTTGAATGTTAGATTGCTCACTGCGTAGGAGAGGCTGCGACTCCCCTGTCGGGAGCTGGACTGGTACCGCCGGGATCTCTGTGGCATTCAGGGGGTCTGGTGGACCGGCTCTGGCTCCTGCCACCAAGAGTGGTGGACAGTCCTCTACTCGGGGCAGGAGACAACAGGGAGTGGCTCTTCTTCTGAACAAAAGAATGAAGGGGAGCGTGGGAGCGTGGCGGTGAGGTGTGGGAAGCTGTAAGCTCCAGGCTACTTTGGGCTTGTCTTCCCATCAACCAGTGATGAGGAGTGGTGGTTGTGGTTACTTATGCCCACATTGAAGACGAACATCCGTGGAGGGATGCAGGCAAGGTCGATAAGTCAGATGCCTTCTATGACCTCCTGTCACAGGTGCTGGCTAAAGTGGCCCCTCGGGGTAGAGTCATCTTCATAATCAACGTTTTTGGGTTTAGATCGCGTTATTTATAAATGTGTCGTAACCCTCCACCACCTGACACGGCCAATCAGTAAAAAAGTGTCACGTTGACAAAAGACAAATAGTTCACTGCTTTAGCCCACCGGTGTGTTGAAGCCACAACATTTACAATTTGAGTACGACGTTTCGCTGGTAATTGCATCCAGCATCATCGGGCATGGTTGCAATTACCAGCGAAACGTCGTACTCAAATTGTAAATGTTGTGGCTTCAACACACCGGTGGGCTAAAGCAGTGAACTATTTGTCTTTTGTCAACGTGACACTTTTTTACTGATTGGCCGTGTCAGGTGGTGGAGGGTTACGACACATTTATAAATAACGCGATCTAAACCCAAAAACGTTGATTATGAATAACATTAGTCGCGAAAGCCTACGTGTTAAACTAGAGTCATCTTGTTGGGTGACTTCAATGCTCGAGTGGGTCATGATGCTGGCACCTGGTCTGGAGTGATTGGAAGGCATGGGCCAGATCAGCTCAATAACAACGGTAGGAGGCTGCTAGATTTTGTGCAGCCCATTGGCTTGTAATTACCAACACGGTGTTCCGGCATCGGCGCATCCACACAACACCATGGATGCATGCCGGATCCAAGCAAGAACATCTGCTGGACTGCATAGTGACGGAACAGCGGTTGCTGGCCCATGTCCTTGACACCAGGACCTACGGTGGAGCTGATCTGCCCACTGACCATCGACTCGTCATCTGTAAGATGTGCCTGCCATTCTTCCACTCCAGTGATGGGTGTACACCCAGGACCCCATTCAAACCTTACGTGGCATGGTCTCAGCTAGCTGATGGAAGTTGCAAGCAAGAATGTATTCATATAACAGGTTTTTGGGTTAGATCGCGTTATTTATGAATGTGCCGTAACTCTCCACCACCCGACACAGCCAATCAGTAAAAAAAGGTGTCACGTTGACAAAAGACAAATAGTTCACTACTTTAGCCCACCGGTGTGTTGAAGAGTGAATCCACAACATTTACAGTTTTTGAGTATTGTGACGTTTCGCTGGTAATTACATCCCCAGCGTCATCAGGCAATTTGCCAGAATGGTGTAGCCCTCCACTTGCTCCCGGTCTTAAATAGAGCAGAAGGTCACATTTGTTCTTCGAAACAGTGAGGAGATCCCGCAGGGATCAGTGAGGAAGGGCCTTTTCTATTGATGCCCCCAGGGTCTGGAACGCTATCACAAATAAACTGCAACTTGGATGACTACCTGTGAAATCTTCACTCAAAACTGCTCTAGAGGAGTTGTACACGCCTTGCTGCCACTGCTATTCAGAATGGCATGAAATCAAATGTATCATTCCGGATGACCGCTGCAAAGTATGATCTTGAGTTTTTATTATAGTGTGCTGATCTTTAAACGTGTATTGAAAAATATTGATACTGCTACTGATACTCCTGCTGTTATGGAGTGAATCGTTAAATTTGAATCACAATTCCTATGATCACTGTTACATTGTTTTATAGCTTTATTTTGGTGATTTTGAAAAGTTTTGGTTTCGCCATGTTTGTTTGTTGTAGTACGGAGTTAGCCTGATAACTTTAATCTAAATTGTCTTATGGTTTTTATTGCTTGACTTGCATCCAACTGGGATTTTTGCACACAGTGTTGAAATGCGGTGCTTTTTCTGGAAGACTTTGCTGTTTTTACCTGGATTTTTCTGTTGCGTGTAGTCACTTTAAGATGTTTCTTGTTCATGTTTTTGTTTGTTGCGGTTGCACCCGAGTCAAGAGCCGCATGGCTCACAGGGTTATACCTAATAAATGCAACTGAAAACTAAAAACAACAACGGAGGGCGGAGGAGCGACGCTCACAACAATGAGCGGAGCGCCGGGTGGCTAAAACACAGCAAGTTGGCACAGTAGGGGGCGCAGGTGGTGCATCAGCCAGTCAGTCGACCCGTGGTACCTGCTGGGTCTGACCCGTGACCTTTCTCCTACCAGCAGGCGCTTGTCACTTAACGTGATAGCCTCAAGGTGCAACTAGCCTGGCACAAGCGTTGTGTTGACGTCACCGCCACTTAGTGGCGAATGGCGGTTGTTGTTGTTGTGTAGCTGTCTGTGTGTGTAGCTGTGTTTGTAGCTGTGCGTCGTGATGACGTGATGACGCGACGTAAAGTGAAACGAGGAGACGCATTCAAGGCGAACTTTTGATTTACTGCGTTTGCCTTTGAAACGAAGCGTACACATTAATTTTATATCATAAAGAGGCCACCATTCTAATCGGCGTTGATTCTAATCAACAGCTCAGAGCAGCATAACCCGCAAATAACATGAAGCCC